ATCAGGGAGTCCTGAGAGCAAGCCAGCCGCGGCTTCTCTTTGTCCCAGGCTCAATTGGCCCCTCCCCAAAATGATATCTGACCAGGCTCCCTTTGCCGGGACTCCTAGGCTGTTGCAATTCACAGCATCCACTGGTCTGGCCCACTAATGCCTGTCTGGCTCTCTCTGGAGCCTCTGGGGTCCGCCTTGACTGTATCCCTGTAGATTTTAACCTCTTTTCTCACATTGCATGCTGAGAGTCAGGGAGAAAGTGCAGCTTGCTACTTTGTTTTTCTTTTTGAATTCTTAAAGTCAAGGATGCAGCCTTCTTTTTCTGTGTTGAGGTCTGTTCTTCACTGTCCCTGTGGGCCGCATTTCTCCCTGAGATCCCTCTTAGACTCCAGGGGTCCACCTCCCTGCTTGTTTCTTCCTCAAGTTGCTATATCCCAGTGTCTGGATTTTGAACCTCAGAGAGGCTGGCCTGCTTCTGCTTACCTCTCTGCCGTCTTCCTGGAAGTCTCTAATACATATTTTTATGAACTTTAATTGATTTTTTTTAGTTTAATACATTCCATTTTTGAATTTCTACTTTTAGAATCCTGTAAACTAGTTTTCCCATATTTATTGAAATTAGTAGCTCAAAATTCACAGTGTTGGTAATGTATCTAAAAAAAAAAATCTCAGAGAAGTAAACCAGAAAAGTTACTGTAGCCTCTAAACCACTTAGGAATATTTCCTTAAAACTGATATAACTATAGTATTAAAGCTCATATTATTTATTGCAGTCAGCTGGAAGGGTGGTATTTGGGGAATAACAGACTCACACATGCCCAGATGCACACACATACACTTGCTTGCCCACGAGAAGCCACCATAGGCTTCTTGGCAGCTGTGGCAGTACATACAGTAACCAGTGAGACGGAATAGGCCCTGCGAGTGCAGAGGGAGGAGCAGTGTTCTGTGGGGCGTTTTAGGGTAGCTGATCTGCAAGTACCATTTGAAGTGGACAGAGGCAGACTGCTGTTGGAGAGGTAGAACTGTCCTTCCGAAATTGGGCAGGGAAAGAGCTGTGTAATATGTTGGAGCTGGGACACTGTTGAGAAAGAGGGTCCCTGGGCAAAGGCCTGGTGAAGGCATGGTCCATTCCAGGTGCCCCGGAGTGGCCAGGAGAGCAACTGTGTGCACATTGCACATTCTGGCTTTTCAGACATGGTCATGTATTCAGCAGCGTGGAAATTTGTTAGGATGCAGGCCTCTCGGCATCCAGTTACCCAAGAGGCCTAGCACTGACTCTGATCTGGGGAGTGTGATATCGTGAAAGGGCTGCTGCCTGAGGGCTGTAGCTGTACGTGAAGCGTGGCCTTGCTTGCCTAGGACTTCTTCAAGTGTTGCTGGGGTGTGGAGGAGTAGGAGCTGAGTCTCGGCTCCTTCTCTGGCAGGTGGGAAGCAGAAAGATGGTGGTGGTAGTGACATATCCTGGTTCTCCCTTTGTTGCTTGTCCCTGCTGTCTCTCCGTCTGAACAAATCATGGGTAAATGGGCATTTTTAATAGGCAAATGAGTTCTGTACCCCACCCCTCTGCAGACACATTAATCTGAACATTTGATCAAAAACTATGTAAAAAGTGGATGGATGTAAGCCAGGGCAATAAGAGAATAAGGTGGGGAAGTGCAGAAATGAGAGTCAAATTGTGTTTTACAGTTGTGAAGCAGGAGACGGGGGAGGATTGTTATTAATGAAAAGTATTTTCTTTTGCCAAACACATCCAAGTGGTGGTGAAGAGGTCCTAGTTTTTATAGAGATGTAGAAGATGAGACTAGGTTTTTTTTTTATTTTTTTTTATTTTGGTAGTATCCTAGAATGAACTTTCTTTATCAACAAGTTACTAACAGTATAGCAATTGTTTCTTTCAGTTATTACACAGTATTAATTTAAAGTCGCTTAGATTAAAATCATTATGAGATTGCTCAAAGTATTCCATTCATTCTAGTCTTCAGTATTGTTCTGGGTAGGGTCAGTTAACAACTGGCTTCCAATGGAATTTGCACAATATTTTAGAAGAAATTCAGATGGAAAGAAGTAGTGATATGTTTTGGTGTTTGGAAGTAACACTTGATCCTCGTTGACAGATTAAACTGAGATTTTTTTCATGGTGGATCATTCAGTTAGAGAATTAATTAAATAGTTGTATTATGGAACTGCAAAGTTGAAGAGCTGCTGCTGATTGGGCTGCTTATTGCATATTTGCTCACTACTGCTGTGCATCAGCCCTGTGAGGGTGGCTGGGGGTGGTGTCCCTTGTGGAGAGTGGGAGCAAGGCATGCCAAGGTTCATGCAGCCTCTTAGTGGCTCTGAAGTGAAAGCAGGCTCGACTCTAGAACATCTAGAGCAGCGGCATCCATGAGAATAGGGTATTGGGAAGATATTCTGGTAGCCATATTGAAGTACAAAATCACCACGGGACAACTGCACCCAACAGGTGAAACAAATTTATCAAAATAGACCAAATAGGATTAGTTAAAATCTTTACTTTTTAGGTCAGGGTCTCACTGTGTAGTTTAGGCTTGCCCCAAATTTATAGCAATCCTTCTGCCTCAGCTGCGCGAGTGCTGAGATCACAGGAGTGTGCCACCACGCCTGGCTAGTCCTGTGTGTTTTGTGCTCACTAACACATCCAGCTGGGCAGTGTGTGATCCACTCTGCCTATAAATCAAGTTAAATGGATGACAAACTGTCTCTGTCTAAAACCTTATCAGCAGTCATCTTGTCTTAAGCTGATGTGTTAAATTACAGTTTTACCTCGAGTTTTTTTCTGATCTTTTAAATTATTTCTTTGTGGTGTTGGAGATTGAACCTAGGACTTCACCCATATGAGGCTACTCTACTGTTGAGCTATACCCACAGACCTTTCCTGACCCTTTTTTTTGGTAGTAAAGTCATTCTGCTTCTCTGAAGTTTCCACAGAACAGATGGACCTAGTGGCAGTTGCCCTTTAGTCACTTGAACAAAAAATTTATTTGGCTTAACAATTCTAAATTCTAAAATTTATGTGGAACCAGAGACCCAGAATAGCCAAAGCAGTTCTGAGCAACAAGAGCAAAGCAAGAGGCATTATAGTCCTGGACTTCCAAAACTGTGATAATAGCATAATACTAGCACAAAAACAGACATATGAACAACAGAATAGGATAAAGGATGCAGAAACAACCCCAAATATCTTCAGCCATCTCATTTTTGACCAATGTGCCGACAACGTTGCTGGAGAAAAGGTAACCTCTTTAACAAATAGTGCTAGGAAAATTGGTTATCCACATGCAGAAGAATAGATCTAGATCCATGTGTTTCACCATGTATTAAAATCACATTGAATTGGATCAAAGACCTAGATGTAAAAACAGAAACACTAAATCTGCTGGGAGATAAAATAAGTAAAATTATTGATGACATAGGAATATGCAGAGACTTCTAGAACAGAGCTCTATTTCACTAGACAATACCAAGAATCAAAAAATGGGAGTATATCAAGTTAGAAACTTTTACATAGCAAAGGAAATAACCGACAGAATGAAGAAGCACTCTAAAGAATGGAAAAAAAATTTGTTGCCATGTACTCCTTAGACAAATGATTTATATCTAGAATATATAAAGAACTGAAAAAAATTAGACCCCAACCCCTAAATAAAAGACCCAGTCAAAAATTTGGCCATCAAAATTAATAGATGCTTCTCCGAAGAAAAAGTACAACTGGCCAGTAGATATATGAAAAAAAAATTCAGTATCTTAGCCATTATGCAAATGCAAATCAAAACAATAGAAATCTTATTCCAGTCAGAATGAATTCAAGGATTCAAAAAACAAATGCTGGTTGGTTTGTAGTATAGGAGTGGTGCAGCACTTCACATCATGGGTAGGAGTGTAAATTAGTGCAACACTCTGCCAATTCGTATTTCTAAAAATAAAACTTCCATTTGACTGAGCTCTACCTCTTCTGGATATTTTCCCAAAACAGCTAAAGTTGTATTACAGTGATACATGTGTATCCATGTTTATAGCAGCATACTGACATTAGTTAAATCACGGAAGCAGCCTATATATCCATCACCAAGTGAATGGATGAAGAAAATATGATTTATATTTAAATATGTATATATATATATACATATATATATACATATACATATATATATATATATATATATATATATATATACATTTGTTTATCCATAAAGGATAAGTTTGAATCTTTTATTGTAAAGTTTATGGCTCTTATTTATTTTTTTTGTATCGGGGATCGAACTCATGACCTCATGCTTACCAGGCAAACACTTGGGCCATTAAGCTAAATTCCTGACCCAAGTTGATGGCTCTTGAGACTGTACTACTAAGTGAAATAAATCAGACACAGAAAACTAAACACTGCATGATCGCTCCAGTATGAGAGACCCAGAATATAAAGAGCAAAATAATTTGGTAGGAAACAGGGAGATACTTTCGGGAGATAGGAACAGAATCTGGGAAAGAGGAAAAGAAGGACAGAGAAATGGGGTAAAAGTGATCACGATACAATATGTGCTTCAACGTAGGTACCAGTTTACCAAGGTGAGTCTAAGTACTAGGTATTGCAAGCATACATGGATAAAAATTTTAGAGGAATTTGGGGTCAAGTTGAGTGTAGTAGCTTTTGCCTATAAGCTAAGCAGGAGGATTGCCATGCGTTTGAGTTCAAGGCCAGCCTGGGAAACATAGTGAGTTAAAGCCAGCCTGAAATACACAGTGAGATGCTGTGACAAAAACAAAACAAAACAAAACAGCTGTTCTCGTCTTTCCCCAGTGCTTTTATTCCAATAAAGAAATTGTTTCATACATCCAAATTTGGACATAGTAATATTTTTGGAGTGGTAAGATGGTGTTTGTTCCAGAGGAAAGTATCACTTGTGTATTAGTTGTTCATGATTTTATTTCTCCTGAGGAGATGTGGCTGGGACCTGTCTGTGCTGCTCACTGCTTTATTTCCTTCCCAGAACCTCATCTGCTCTGAGTGTGGAGATGAGTTCACACTGCAGAGCCAGCTGGCCATACACATGGAGGAGCACCGGCAGGAGCTGGCTGGCAAGCGTTTCCACACCTGCAAGGCTTGCAAACAACAGTTTGAGACTTCAGCAGAGCTGAAGGAGCACATGAAGACACACTATAAAGTTAGGTATGAGTCGTTCATTAAGCATGGTAAAAATTCTGTGGAGGATGTGAAAGACTGGTATGCCAGTGTGACTGAGTGAAAACATTTACTGCCTAAGAAGAAGCCGGCAGTGGGGACCACATAGCCTGTCGGCATCAGATTGCCATTCCTAAAATGTGGCTCCACACTAAGGCAAGTCAGTGAAGAGGTGGGTGGGCAGGCTAAACCTTGCGTTAGAAATATTTGAGCAGAATTACTGTGTAAAATCTATAGCACAAGGGTCTGGCACTATATTTGTATGGGCACTTAACAAAATTTGTAAAATGGACTTATAAGTGGCTAATTTGCCACCTTTTTAATGAGTACTGTTGAGCATGCCTGTGTGCCTGGCTGTCTTTATCGTTTATACAAAAATATGTATAAATAGAATCATCAGATTACTACAGACAGTTCCATGAGGCCAGTTTGGTTTGATTTGGTTTTTTTGGTGGGGAGTAGGTTGAGACAGGATCTCAATGTATTCCACTGTGTAGCCCAGCTGGCCTTGAACTTGCAGTGATCCTTTCGCCTCTGCTTCCCTGGTGCTGGGATTACAACTGTGGACCACCATGCCTGGCTCTGCTTGCTTTTGTGTCCCCATTTTGCAGATGAGAAAGCCTCAGACCAGTCAGCATTCATGAGGTTTCATAGCTGGCAAGTCAAGAATTAAAGATGTAAACTCTGGTTTAGAAGTCTACTTTTACAATTTAGAATCTTAACAATCATGCCTATAATTTGGATTCTTAACATATGTTTACTTCTGGAGAAACCTTTCAAAATTTTCACATTTTATCTACTCCATATTATGTATTTTGCTGCACTTTTTTTTTGCTTAATAAAATGAAGAGGCCTTTCTGGCCCTTTAGCTGTAGTTAGTTCATGGTCATCAGTTGTCATTCTTTCAGATCTAACTTCTTTAACAAACAGTTCCGCTGGTTGGGGTAACTACTGTCAGTTAAGCTTGTTCCCCTTCTCAGCACTGGCGATTGGGAAATATCTGGGTTTTTAATAGACAGTTCCACATGTATGTGTTCATGAAGCATATAAAATGTCTAAATCCTGTGTGGCATGTGTTTATTCTCTTAGACACAGCATATTAAAAACGTTGCCTGAACATCTCCATCTGGCCACCCATCTCATGTTACCTTTTTGTTTTGTTATTGTTGAAAAATGTGTTTCTCTCAATACTGTATTATTTCAGCTATTTTATATCAAAAATAAATGTACATTCTCTGTACACATTAGGTTTCTATGCTAGTGAGACTTTAGAACCAACAGTTTTTTAAAATTTTTATTTAAGGAGAAAAAGAAAAAAAAACAGAAAAAGGGTACAAGTTATACAGAATTTCAGAAAAAATAAACAGTAGGAAATCACTAGTTAATAGATTACATATTGTCATCTTAGAAATAGTTATTCAAGTTACAAAATTAAAGCATATAAAGTGGACATTCAAATAGTGAGATTGCAAACAGTTCTGTTCAATGATCCAACAAAATTCAGTAATATGGTTACCTATCTTATACACTTAAATATACCTGCAGTTATATCCTTTAAAGCACTTTCTTTTCCTCTCTTTTGTACAATGACAATTATACATTTTGGGTTTTATTACTCCCACAGTTCTTATTACTGTTTTTGAAGAGAATAAAACCAAATGTGACATAACAAAACAGGGTCAGTCAAATCAAAAGGATGGACATAATACATACTATAAAAAACAAAATACAAGGTCATCAACAGTGGTTACCATAATGCTTCTTGCTATCTTAAAAAAGAATTGCCTGTATCATCAGTTATAATAAAATTGATCAAAACAGTAAAAAACAAATCCAATAAAACCAAAACATTGGAGACATTACAGGACTTCAAAAGAAGATAATAGTCAAACCAGAATGGGCATCATAATGAATCTTTTTTTTTTTTTTTTTTTTTGTCTTTTTCCTTTTTATCGGTAACGGGGATCAAACTCACAACTGCCTGTTTGCAAGACAGGCGCTTATGCTGCAGAGCTAAATCCCCAGCCCCTCATAATGAATCTTATTGTCTTCACAGTTGTTGCCTATACTCTTGAACTTGGTAGTATCAAGCAAAACAGAATAGAATCAGTCAAAACAAGATGGTGAGAGCAATACAGGGTTTCAAATCAAGTTAATGGGAAATCAAAGTGGGTTACTATAATATATCCTGCTTTTTAAAAATTTTTCCCTTAATTAAAAAGATAAATAAAAAAGTAAATAATAAAAAAAGGAAATTGAGATAAAAGAGGACATAACAACAAAACAGCACAGGTCAAAACATAACCATTTAAGCAAAATAGTGTTTCACCACAAGATATCCCGCCATAAAAGTAGTTACCATAGTGTCTCTTTCCTTGCAATCTTTGAGTATAACTTCATATACTGTAGCATCAAACATATCAAGACAATGTAAAACCATTCAAGAGAATGACTGTATTGCAGGGTATTTAGAACCATCTAACAGAAAATTAACAATGGTTTCTGTATAATCTCCTTGTCTATAAAAGTTTTTGTTTACATTATCATATATAATAAAATCCAATAAGATACAACATGTTAAGACCGATGGAGACAGAAGAACAAAAGCTTGATGGGACTTCCAAACAAGATGATATTAAATCAGCACAACCTATTATGATGCCTTGTTTTCTCCAAAATAGCTGTTCCTACCATCCAGTCTTCTCTGGCTCATTTCTGTTGAGCTCTTTTTCTGTCATTAGTTGTCAGTTTGTCTTCTTCATTTTGCTTTCTGCTCCATTCATTGTGGCCTCTCTGCCACTGTTTCTGGAATCTTGGTATTTTTCTTTTTTTAGAATGTCCTGCAGTATTCTCTGTAGAGTTGAATTGGTGGTTGCAAATTCCCCTAGTTCCTCTTTATCCTGGAAGTACCTTGTTTTTCCATCAATTTCTAGGGACAGTTGTGTAGGATATATCAATCTTGGCTGGAGGTTATTATCTTTCAAAGCTTGAGTTATTTCCCCCCACATTCTTTGTGATTTGATGGTTTGTGCCGAGAAGTCTGCTGTAATTCTGGTGGATGTTCCCTTGTAAGCGATCTGTTTCTTGTCTCTGACGGCTTTTAATATTCTGTTCTTATATTGGATTTCTGGAATTTTGATTATCATATGCCTGGGTGTTGTGGGGTCCTGTATGCCTCATAGATGTGAGTATCTTTACCTTTTGCTAAATTAGGGAAATTCTCCTGGATTATTTCTGTGAATAGCCTTTGTAATTCATTTGTTTGTGTCCCTACTTCTTTTATGTTCTTAATTCTTGAGTTATAGATCCTCTTATCATCTTCAAGCCTTTGTATCATTGCTATTTGTTTCTTTGTTATTTTTAAGAAGTTTTCATTTCATGCTCCCACATTACAAATCTGTCCTCCAGTTCAGATAATCTATCCTTAATTTCTTTCAAGCTGTTTTGCCAGCTTTCAATAGAGTTTTTTAGTTTCCTGGTAATCTCTTTGAACCTGCTTCACGTATTCTATGTTTTCTCTATTTTCTCCATCAAACAATTCTCCCCTTTTTTCTGGTTCTTCCATTCCACCATCTGTTTTTTCTTGGGTGGTACTTAGCATTTTTCTAACTATTCTACTTATATCTTGCTTTAGGTCTTTAAATACTTCACTTTTGAACTCGTCTATGAGGCTCCGGAGATATCACTTTATGTCTGTTGGTGCCGTGTCTGATATTGCATGTTTTCTGTCCTCATTCTCCTTTGCATTTACCTTTCCTGGATCACTGTTCTCAGGAGTGGGGGCCGAGGACCCTTTCTTGTTGCTCCCTCTTCCCATAGTTTTTGTTCCTTCTACATAAGCGTATATAGGAGGCCCAGTTTCTTTCTTTGTCGGTTACAGTTTGTTTGAATTGCGCTAGCTAGGTTTTCCCGCCCACTGCAGTGTAGTTGGAAGACAGACCTGGGCAGCTTCTGCTGGGCCCGCCCCTCCAGGTCAGTCAACCTACTGAAGGCTTCACTGCTAGGGTGCACTGCCAGATGCAGGGACCTGGTTTGGGCTAGCCTACTGGGTCTTAGTCTGCTGCGTCACCCAGGCCAAGCGCTCACCACCAATCCCACTTGAGAGGGGAATATACGACTAACGTCACTGCAGCGCCCTGTTCCGGCTGTCTGCCCAGTCCCAGAATGCTCTGTTGGAGCCTCCTAGTCTATGAAGCGGTCCCCGTTCCTCTCACTCATCGTAGCTCAATGCATGGCTCCCTGCCAGTCCCACGCTCAACTCCATTTGCCGATGCCCGCTTTCAGAGGTTTTGCCTCTCTGTCCCTGCTGTGCTGATTCAAACGCAGCAGCAAATTCAAATTGCAGCTTCCAGAGGCGCAGGTTCCAGCTTCAGTGCTGAGATTTTATCTGTTCCGTTATAGCACCGGGATTGCATTTCCAGTTGGTTTCTCTCAGCGTCATTCATTCCTGGGTCGGCAGGGTATATCTCCCCCTGCTTAGGACTCCTCACACCACACCATTCCTGGATTCTAAGCTGGCTAACTCAGCCTCCATAGCTGCTGTTATCTATCCGCCATGTCCTCCCGGAAGTTCAGAAGCAACAATTTTGATGTTACCTTGAAGCTTTTAAACAAAATGGGAAATATTTGAGTGGGCATTACACACACAGCCAGCCCTGACTTTTGGGTTTTCCTGGATTGAGGAATGAATCAGACAGATGAGGCTGCATTCTCAGGGCCTTCCTAAGCAGGAAGGAGATCGGGGAAGAAAACGGAGCAGACCTAGATGAAGGAAAACCAGGGCACAGCAGAGCAGATGCCTGAGTGCCAGCGCTGAGCTTCCTGTGTTTTTAAAATCAGAAAGGCAGTGGAGTGAGCGCCTCCTGCAGGGAGTGTGGGGCTGAGCCTGATGAGGCTTGAGGATGCCTCTGGCTGCCCTATGGACAGGAAGGTATCAGGGGGATACTTGCTTCCCGTGGCTTTTGCAGAGGTGCCACGGAAGGTCAGTTCTGTCCCAAGACCATGCTGAGGGCTGAAAGTATAGAGAGATGTGACATTCTTAAATATTGCATGGTTTATGTTATGTTAGAAACCCAAACTATAAATAAGGAGCAAAATAAAAAAATATTAGGAAGTAGGGAGATAGATCTTTCTCAGAGAGAAAAGAAATCAAGCAATAAAAGGAGGAAGAAGGAAATAAGAGAAAGAAGATGAGAAAAGGAATTGAGATGTGTTACATGTATGTGCCAACTTCACACAAGAACTATAAACATTACTGCTAATATGTACTAATTAAAATTCTAAAACTCTAGAAAAATTAATATACAACAGATCTCAGCAATAAAGCAGCCTTTCTTTGGCGTCAGTAGCAACAGAAACCAATACATTATACATTTGGATGTCTTCAGTGTTTATCTCACCATTAATCACTAGGATGGGACATAAGGAAGAGAAAGTGTCCTTATCCCCATCTTTCAATAGCTTTGACGTCAGTAAGCTTCTCATATCTAAGTCACAGAGTAGTGGATATTCAGAAGACAGAAATCTCACCCAAAAGGAATGTCCAGACTTTTTTTTCTTTTTGGGACAGGGTCTCACTGTGCAGTTCAGCCTGACCTTAAGCTCATTTTGTATCCCAGGCTGGTCTTGAGCTTGCAACGATCCTCCTGCCTCAGACTTCTGAGGGCTGGGATTAAAGGTGTGCACTATCATGTCTGACCTGTCCACACATTTATTGACCTGTCTGAATTTGTGAATTTTTACCATAATTAGTAAATATTCACTGGAACACTTAAAAACATTGAGTGATGTGAGTATGTTGGGGTGTTTAAGAGTAAAACCAGTGGCTTTTGGAGGTGGACTTGAAAATATAGCATGACCCCTGAGATTTAAAGCTGTAACTTTAGGAGTCTGCATTTCCTGACATGGAAAGGAACAGGCTGGGGTAATGTGGAGTTCTGCTTTGGCTGTGCTAGCTTGGTGCTTCCACACAGGCAGTCACCTGGGAGGCAAAGCCAAGGAGAGCCAGCTGTCCAGGCCTGGAGCCCAGAGGAAGTTTCTAGGTTGTGGGAGGCAAAAGTTTGGAAATCATCACATCCAGATGGCTACTGAATGCGAGGAGACAATAGGCGGTAGTAGGAAGATAGTGTCACTGTGGAAATAACCTGCATTTGTCTCTGCAGCTGACCGTGACAGGTAAAGCTTTGTCCCTGCCTTCCCAAATCAGTGTATTGGCCTGTTTTTTGTTTTTAGCCAGGTTTTTTCATCATAAAGTAGAAAATAGAATTTTATGATACTGAAGATAGAAAACTATTAAATGTGTGCGTGTTATTATATGACTTATTTATCATTGACCTGTGTTCTGAGATCCCTTAGCTAAACTTTCTTAAAGAATTTTCATTTTGAAACTAAAATACAAGGAAGAACACTTAATGACTGTTTTCCCTTCTGTATTATATAGGGTATCAAGGTCTTATAATAGGAACATTGACAGAAGTGGTTTCACTTACTCATGTCCACATTGTGGAAAGACCTTTCAAAAGCCAAGCCAGCTAACACGACATATAAGGATACACACAGGTATGAAAACCTTTCACTTTCATATCATCTGTTATGTGGCTTAAGGGAAAAATGTGTTTTGTAATCCAGTCCTAGCTTTTCTATAGTTTTGTTACACATTGGTGAAATTACCTCAACTTTCTGTGATTTCATTTTTTAAGTTGAAATATGTGGGTGTTTGTCATATAGTTGTCCTAAAGTATAAGTGGAAAAATATGTCCGATATACGGTGCATGTCAGTGACAGAAATATTATTATTGATGTGATATTCATTTGCTCATTTAATTAATAAATATTTATGGAGTATTACTGTGTCAGAGATTGCCCTAGACTAATGAGATCTAAATTAACAAAGCGAGCTGGACTGTAAGACATTAAAGCAGTACCAACTCTGTGTCTTATCTTACTCAATTGTTTGTTTTACCTGAGTATTTGAAAGTAAGTGCCATATTCATAGCTGGGTACTCTGACATCTTATAAAACACAGTCAGCTTCTAATACTGGTTTAGTAATGTAGGTGGTCTTCTCTCGAACAGGACAAGGGAAGACTACAAATGTTTTTATTTGAAATTAAGTTATAATTTTGTTTTCTTCTATTTTTATTTGGTTCCTTTTATAGTAATCTCATTACTATTTGGTCAGCTACCATTGTTTGTCCACCAGTTCTGATTCTGTTATATTGCTTTTTTCTTTTTCACTTCTTAATGAAACATCTTTTGTAAAGTATTGTAGAATCTGATAATTTAAAAGCTTGTTTATATACCTAAAGTTAGTATTTTCAGAGTACCATCATATATTTATTCTTAGAGCAAGAGAAGAAAGTAGTCTTTCAAAATGTGACAATGCATTGTATTTGTACAAGTTCTCATGTAAGTTCTAGCTTATTTTTCATAAGCTTTAATCAATGAAAAATAGTTTGAAAAAAATAGTTTGTGTAAAGTCACATACTTTATGCAGAGGCATGTAAACAGCATAGACAACGGAATCCTTCTTAGGCCCACTCTCTAGATGTTGTACATTTTAAGCAGTTAATAGCAAATACACAAATACATAAATACATACATATCCTCTAGGTTTCTTCACGCCTCCAGAGCTATGTATTCATGCTGTGTTATACTCCTTCCCGTAACTTTAGGATCCACACTGAACTTTGAACACATCGTTGTCCTCACTAGCCTCTTGAGTTGCCTTGAGTGCTGGGGAGGGCAGTTTCCTAGTCCCTTATGTGGTCACACCGGCTGGCTCTGTTTGAACGTGGGGCAGGCTGCTCAGTGAAGGAGGTTACAGAGATCACCTGTGCTCTGCTCCTTCTTTGCTGTGTGCCCCCAGCCAGGGGGTACCAACTCTTTCCTGTGTGCCCCCAGCCAGGGGGTTCACGTGTTCTAAGCTTGGCTTTTTGAATGACTGAGCCTCGCAGTTCCTGTGGTAAGGTGGCATGGAAGAACACTCCTTGACCATGTGTGATCCCATCCAGGCCTTATCCAGGAGGGGTGTTGTCCTGTCGGACAGGAGAGGTGTCCTCACTGAGATTGGCATCCAGAGCAGACTTCTGTCTGCTTCTCCTCTCCTGCAGTGCTCTCTAGAATGAGAGCAGGCTGTTTCCTGTTGGAACCTCTGTCTCATGCATTGACTTACCCCGAGACTCGTTCAGAGAAGTAGGAATCTATCTGATATTACTTCTGACTCACACTATATTTAAAGAGTCACTTTAATTCAGACTGGACTTTAAACAGGCTTGCAGTTATGTTCTAATCTAACCTGTTTTCTTTTCATGCATTCTTTCATTTAGCACATGTTTACTGAAAAGCTGACAAGTGTTTACACTTCTAGGGACTGAAAGTAGAGTCATGCCCAAAACAGCCAAAAACTTCACCTTGGACCATGTATTCAGTGAAGAAAGGTGTATGATAACTAAACTATTAAAAGCCACTGATGATAAATTAAACAGAGAAAGGAGTTGAGGAGTGAGGGAGATTTTGATCTTAGGTAGAACAGATTGGAAAGTCATCCCTGAGAAGGGGAGGGAGCCATATAGACCGTTGGGGAATCTGTTCTAAGCAGGCGGATCTCACGCTGTGTTGGGGAAGCTGAGGGAGGTGGCTTAGGAAGTGGGGCAGTGATTTGGTGCCATTGGAGAGCCTTGGGCAGCTAAAACCTGCTCTGGCCTCATTTGTGAACGGCTCCCTCTGAGTTGAGAACCGCCCATACAGGCAGGGAAACAGTGCGTCCCTCACCTGTGTGGATAGGCTGTGCCATGAGCCAGGTGGGAGTTCGGATGTGGGCAGTGGCTGCTCTGGATGTATTTTGGGACCAGGGGGTTTGCTGGTCTGTGTAGTGTGGCCATGAAAGAAGCTGCAGAAGGGGATGACTGATGCCTGGGATGACACTGGAGGAACACTGCCCTGGAACTTGTTCCTGGATGAGTGAGATACTAGGTGTGGGGCATGTTAACTTTAAGATTTTGAGTAGACAGTTGTCTGAGTGTAGAGTATGGGGAGTTGTTTTGGCTGGAGAAGTAGGTTTGGGGTCTTGAGTTTGAGTAACTAGCATTTTGTCTTTTCAGTCTTAAAATGTTCCTGTAATGATCCTTTTTCTCCCCTCTCTAGGTGAAAGGCCATTTAAATGTAGTGAGTGTGGAAAAGCCTTTAACCAGAAGGGGGCGTTGCAAACCCACATGATTAAACATACAGGTGAAAAACCCCATGCCTGTGCCTTTTGTCCTGCTGCCTTTTCTCAGAAAGGGAATCTTCAGTCCCATGTACAGAGAGTTCACTCAGAGGTAAACACAGTATTTGGGCTGTGCACAGTGTTTCACAGTGTTGTTGGTGAACCTGAAAAGTTGTATTCCATCTTTTAAAAGTGCAAATTGAGCTGGGTGTGATGGTGCCTACCTGCAGTTACAGTTACTGGGAGGCCGAGGCAGGAGGGTTACAAATTGGGGCCAGTGGGGCAGTTTAGCAAGCCCTGACTCAAAATAAAGAAGAAAGGGTTGGGGATGTAACTCAGTACTCCCTGGGCTCCAGCCTGGGCTCCAGCTCCAGTGTTGAGGGGGAAAAAAGTGCCCATGGAGTTTTTCCTGACCAACCTGTGTTAGAAAAAACTGTATGGGAACTTTTTTTGGTTTAGTATATGTAGAATAAGTATATTATTTTTTGTGTTCTTAGTTTAATAAATACATATTTGAAAACAATCATACCTTTGGTAGTTGTGATTTGTCAACTTGAATAATGTGTTTACCCCTTCAAGCGGGGTTGAAATACACTGTCAAGTGTAAAGGCAGAGCTGCTGTGTGGTCCTGGGGCTGTGATACTGTCCCTGCACTGCGACCCAGGCCACACTTTTCAGCCAGAACCACTGCACAGTTGTGTGTTGTCTGCAGGTTACACTGCTGTGCGGATTCTCCATGCGTCTTCTGTAAAGCACATTAACCTTTGTTCTTACTGTTATGCTTGGAGATCTTAAGTTTTAGTTGAAGAGTATAAAGATATATTTAAACAATACAAGTACTTTTATCATGGATCAGTTTATTCTAGGAAACTGTTTCGTGCAATAAAAATTATCATATTTTTAAAAGCAAATAATACATCATTTTAATTTTTCCTTGGAGTTAAGCCTCACATGTTACTTAAATGACCTTGGAGTTTAAAGATCTTTATTACCTAGAACCCAGAGACAGTAGAAAGGTGCAAATGTTGCTGAAGTACTGTTACTGTGAGGTTTTGTCCTGCAAGAGCACTCTGTATGTGATTCTTACGGAGTTGCCACTGAGTGAAAACCATTGTTTGTGTAGCGCGCAGGCATCCCTCCCTGGATTCTCAGGATAGTGCTGTGAGGTACTACCTACCAGAGCCCCTGCAGTCAGAGACTAGAGCAGGCCATGTGGAAGATATCCTGGGACTCACGGTTGGTAGATTGTTCTGGGCAGAGCCTCTAGAGATTGGTTTGTAAACTTTTTTTTGAGACAAGGTCTTACTGTGTAATTCAGATAAGCCTTGAACTCACTGTTGTAGCCCAGGCTGATCTTGAACTCACATCTGCCCTCCTGCCTCAGCTTCCCAAGTGCTAGGATTACAGGCATGCGCCACCTGACTTATAAATATTATCCAGTCCTGTCAGGCAGCTAAAACATTACATTTGGTTGGTAAGAAGGGGTTTGAAATAGAATAGAAATCTTATTTAAGTTTAGAGAAGACTAGTGAGTTTTTAAACCAGTCTTCATAACTTCAATGATTACTAGAGTTTAATTTGAATGATGAAATATTTTGGTCATTTATTGTTTATAGATACTCTTATTCATTTTTACTCATTTTATTTGCTCTCTGTAGTCAGTTTTTCACTTTATTATAGTTTTAAAAGTTAGTCATTGATATGGAATATCAGAATAGCGGATGAAAGATTTACATATAGTATGGCCATCTTCCTTAAACTGCCTGTTAGGCCCCCAAAAAGTAAATATTTATAAATGTTTAGTTTTTATTGCTAAACATAATATTTAACCATGTAAGAAACTGAAAACACAGGCAGGACATTTTTGTTAAATTCTAATACCTGCAAGGCATTTGATCGTCTCAGAGCCATTTCTCTTCCCCTTGGGTGCTGGGGACTGAACCTAGGGCATTCGCACTGAGGTCCAGCCCAAGGCCTTTGATCTTTATTTTTTTTATTTTGAGATAGGATCTCACCAAGTTGTCCAGGCTGGGTTTGCACTTGTGCCCCTTCTGTCTCATCGTCCCAGAGTGTTGATATTACAGATTTGTGCCCAATACTGAGCTGAGTCATTTCTTTTTATGTATAAAAGACCATGAAATTTCAATTAATCTTATACTAGCACTATTTATTTATCTTTGGGTCATGGTTCTAGAGCTGTCTGATGTGAAAAAAAGATTAATGTTGAAAGGATTGGTTATTTCTCTCATTTTGAATAGAATGGCAAAATACGATTTGCTATAATTTAAGTGTTTAGTAATTGTAAAAAAAACCTTTTTTTTTATTCTTTAAGGTCAAGAATGGTCCTACCTATAATTGTACAGAATGTAGTTGTGTATTTAAAAGTTTAGGTAGCTTAAATACTCATATAAGCAAGATGCATATGGGTGGTCCTCCTAACTCCACAAATTCCACGGAGACCGCGCACGTTATAACAGTAAGTATAGCATTTTGGTTTTTAAAAGAATTTTTAAAATCTAAAATCTGTTATTTAAAACATGATTATTAAAATTAAATATTTAGTACCAAAATGGTACTATGAAATTTTTTTTGTGAAGATGAAGTGCTACTTTTTTTTAAATTAATGAAAGAAAGCTACTCTTCTTAAATCCTGATTTATGAACTGTCATCTGAACCTGAAAAACAAGACGAGGTGAAATCATTAATATATGAAATTATAATTCTTATAGTATTATTGATTGTTTTTACATTATCATTTGAATTAATTATCTTTTGTAAGTAATATTTCTTATTTTCTGATGTAGGAGTGTGTGGAACTAAGTGTCTCTCACAGAAGGTATACAGGTTCTCCTCAGTAGTTTATTCTTTTTATTTTGATAGAGGCAGGCCCTCAGTTTTTACCTTAAAGTGCCTAATTGCCCCTGGTTCTGGGAGGATGGCAAGGAGGTTTTTTACTTACATTTTGTAATTAGACTAATTTTAGATAATTTGAGCATAAAATTCAGAGAACACGCCCCAGTTTCCCTTATTATTAACAACATGCTGGTGTGGTATATTTGTTACAGTTGGTGAATGAATATGGATATGATAATGATTAGCAGAAACCTGTCGTTCACATGAGGGCCGGCCCTCTCACTGTTGTGTATGTTGTGTCAGTGCACGGGTGTGTCCACCTCTGCAGTGCTGGAAGGGATGCTTTTACTGTTCTCATGGCCTTTGAGTGTGGCATGTCTGACCCTTGGCCGCTACAGGAATCAGGTCGGCTTTCTCTTGTAGTGTAGCCTTGCCTCAGATTTTCTTGGCTTGGTTTTATTCTTCAAGTTGTCTGGTTTTCAAAAATGTATTGAATTTTTTGACCACTCTGGTTTTAGTATTTCTTTTTCTTTTTGTAACTTCTGCTTTTTAAGTCCATTCACTTCTTTTTAATGGGTAACTGGGAAGATGAGGGTTAATATGTTCAATGTGGTATTCTGAATTGAGTCTCTGCATAAAAACTTTGTGAAAATCAGAGTAGAGCAGTTCCATTAAGAGCCAGTCATGTGCCTGCCTGCCACAAGAATCAACGAGGTGTTGAACTGAGTTGTTTTTCACTGCACTGGTAAAATTTGTTTTTCTAATAAAATGGTACTGTGTTGCAGGCCACACTCTTTCAGACCTTACCTCTCCAGCAGACAGAAACCCAAGGCTCCTCAGCCTCAAGTCAGCAGAATTCTCAGGCAGTGACCGATGTCATCCAGCAACTCCTGGAACTCTCTGAGCCAGGGCCCGTGGAGTCACATCAGTCTCCGCAAGCCGGGCAGCAACTAAGTATCACAGTGGGCATCAACCAGGACATTCTACAGGTGAAGCACGTTTACCTGCTGGCGTGAGAATTTCATACTTGTACTTTGGCAGAAAGCAGGAGTGGCAGTTGAAGAGAGATTTTGCAGGGCTTATCTCTGTGAAAATGTTCTGATTTAAAAATGTGCCTGTATTGAAAAAGATCATAGTAAAACAAAATTTGCCCATTTAATTAGCTATGGACAGTACAAACTTCTAAAGAATTCATTAATTTATGCATTAAAAAAACTAACAGCCCTTTTTTTACTCTTAAGTGAACTTTCGCTTTTTAAAGTAGATATTTCAAAACTTGTATCTATTCCTATTGAGAGATGAGGTGAGAGATTTTATTCTTGAGGTTCTGGTTTGCTGTTTGAGATAGTCATAGGCATTTACAATCCAAAGGACCTTGTTTCTGGCTTTCTGTTATTAGTGTGAGAACGGCCCAAGCACACATAGGAAAAGAGAAGGAAGGAAATGTCCAGCGTTACATTTCACAGAAATTCCTCACTTCCACAGACGTGGCCTTCCTCCTCTTCCTGGTCTCTGTTTAAACAGGAGGATTGGAAGTTCAAGCCCAGCTGGCCAATTTAGTGCCCTAGTGAGACCCATAAAAATGAGGCTGGCAGTGTAACTCAGTGTGCAGGCCCTGATTCAATCCTCAGTACCACATAAACAAAACTTTCTCCAGAACCTCATGGTAAGAAATTGGACAGTAGTATGATAACTCTCAGGATGTCATGCCACAGCCAGTATCTTAAAAGTCAACCCAGTGTAAATTATGCCATAAGTCCCAAATCCATTCAGACACAACCTAAATTGTCTCAGGTAAGATTTTAAAAAGTTGATCAATTTAAATTCCCTTCACTTTAGAAACATAAGTGCTTCTCATACTGTATTTTGGGTGAGGGATTAGGTCCCTAAAAGGGACATTACAGCCAAAGGAGCTATGCTGATAAATGATCACTTGGAATTGTAGAATGTGTTTCTTGTAGTGGAGTTAGACTTCTGTGGGTGCAGCTTTTTATGGCATTTTGGGATTGGTGTTGGTAGGCAGCTGTGGGCCGTTGCCTCTTCTAACCTCTTAGTTTTGTTCTGTCTCAGCAAGCCTTAGAAAACAGTGGGCTGTCTTCACTTCCAGTTGCAGCACCTCCCAGCGACTGCAGCCACACCAAGACGTCTGCAGTGCCAACTCAGAGTCCGGATATCTCCAGCGTTTCCACCGAGCAAGGCGACCCTCCAGATACAGGGCAGGACAAAGGGCAGGAAAGCCCTGAGAAGTTGGATAAAAAAGAGAAAAAAGTGATAAAGAAGAAGTCACCATTTCTACCAGGTAATTTAGAGTGTTTGCCCTTCAGTAGCGTATGTTTGTGTTTGAGAAGCATGCCCCCTCCTCTTCTCCTAAAGTGACATGTTTGTGCCATTATTCTGAATCTAACTGTAGTTGATGCATGAAAGTTGATGTAGTTGAAAGTGAAGGGAGATGGCACCTAGGAACTTTCTGGATGCACCTCTTGATGCCTTGCTGATTTTTCCTGCGGTTAGTTTCTCAGCTGGTGCCCAGGTTCAAACTTGTAACTGGTTTTGCTCTCTCTCCTAACTTTGGCTCCCTCTCACAGTTTGGATCCATTATTGCCTCCGGCTCCTGCTTCTGCTGCTTGGTTTTCTGCTGAGCTCTTCCTGCTCACTCCTCTTGGCTGCTGCCGCCTGCCCCCTCCCCGCCCCACGCTGCCTGAACTCCCGCTGCCGCCCCACCCCCGCCCTCCTCCTGGCTCTGGACCCACCATCTCAACCCGTGCTGCAGGCTTCCTTGCACTCTTCTTTGGAATACAATCTTTCTTTATAGTGAAGTGGCATTCCTGCCCTTTTCACGTGCTTGAGTGTTCCAGACATCATGGTTTCTGAGGCTGTTTTCACCACATGTTCTCCTCCCCCTTTCCAGTGGTCTTTGTCTAAATTGGGGGTCCCTTCTGTGTGCACCTCCCAGAAGCCCCTCAGTGTGCATCCCTGTCTCATCTTGCACCACATGGAGGGTAGTGTGGTGCTTAGGGTGTCCTGTGCTGACTGGAGTGCCTTCTTGGTGATGAGCCCTGCCTGGCCTGGAATGAAGTCTGTGTTGGAACTCCTTAGTGCTCAGCATGGCTTTTGCATAGGAATAAATTTTTACTCACAGAGCCTATATTTTGGGCACAGTGTTCTTGTGTTGTGCAAGCCTCTTCTAGACACCCTGGGGTACATTTGCTTTCTCACTGTAAAGCACAGGGCTATGTTGCCATATCTGTTGGTGCTTCTTTTCTAAGCATAATTTTCTGTACATGGATGACATGTGCCTGAGAAATCTCATTTTTATGCCGTGCAGCCTGAATCCTCTGTTCCTTTGATCTGACTCTGCTCTCCAGGTAGAAAACAGGTTTCTTGGTCCTCGGCATTTTCTGGTCTCAGAGCTGAGGGCAGCAGATGGGGAAAGTGGATAGCTGTACCATGGCCTTATAGGTTGCAGGTGTTCATATGTTAGAGTGTCCGAATAAAATATTACAGATACACATATGGCTTATTGCTTGCTCTTGTCTAGTTTCTGTGCTAAATTGAAGATGCTCTAACCTGGCTGCAGGCTACTAAGTGGGAAACAGGTTTTCCCAGGCAAAAGGCCTGACTTTCCTTCTGAAAATGCTAAGTAGCAAGCATCCCAAAACTGTGATGTCCCCTTCTGAGATGCCTTTCCAGAAATAGCTTTTCTCCCTGTACTCTCTGGCACTTCCTGCAGTGTTGACAGGGACTGCTTTATAAGGCTTACCTAGTTCCCAAGCACTTGAGTGTATTTCATGCATACGTACATCTCACTGAGGGAGTGTGTGCCTTTCTGGTAGTTTTACTGTAGATATGGTCATTGGGACAGTTTGGGGCCAGTGCCCTTTCTTTCTTGTTTTTTCACTGCATTGATGCTATGGCCGGAAAGTTACTGGGAACACATTTCTGCTCTGTTAGGACTTCCAGTGACTATGAGAAAACTGTTCTTGTCAGTCATAACACTTTCTTTATAGCTTGGAATTAACCTTGATTAGATTCCCAGGTTGATCTTAATCTGCCTTATAAAGTTATTGTTCTTAAATTTGTTCTGTTTTTGGTGGAATCTGCTTTATTAAGAAGTATGCATATTTACTGAAAATACAACCTGTTTTTATGTTTTTCATGCAACTTGTGATGGATAAATCACTGTGAAATTTTAGTTAAGTTTGAAGTTCATTTAGGTGAAATATGACGATCTAGAAAGAGACTTAGGAAACCTGATTATATATTCCTTTAAGTATGAAAATGGTATGCTGGGATTATTTTGTGTGGAAATATTTCTCAAAGCATTTGCATACTTGATCTTTTAAACTAGGGGTGAACTTGTTAATTGTTTTTGGTTGACCTAGGGATGTTGCCATGAACTTTGGTTATCATGTTGTGCTATAAGAGGTTGACATCTTTTGGTCTCAAAGTGTATGGACTTCAGGATAGTGCAGTTGTCAGCTTTACCTGCTTTTAAAAGATAGTTGTCCTCATCTGTCTGAGGGTGGTCTGGTTCCAGGACCCTGTGAATACCAAAATCCCAGGATGCTGAAGCTTATATAAGATGTATGTTGTCTACTATGTGTGTAACCTACATGCATCCTCCTGTCTAGTTTCACTTAACTCCAGATTGTTTATAATATCTAATACAGTGTAAGTGTTCTGTAAAAAGTTATTATACTCTATCTTTTAGGGAATAATGACAATAGAAAATGTGTGTATATGTTCAGTGTAGATATAATTTTTCAAACGTTTTGTGTTTGAAGAACTGACTGTAGAGTTTTTACTCCTTGCCTGACATTTTCCTGAAATTATACTTTCCCCACCAAGTGTGTGTGTAGCTCTGGGCTCTTAATTCTGTTCCACTTACCTGTTCCTTTGTGTTAATGTTAATATGATACCATCCCCATTATTTTGTAATAACTCTTCAATCGTGATGGATTTTTCATTCTCTTTAGAATTAACTTTATGTCTTTGAAATACAGCATCTTTTATATGCATTTTCTTTCTGTTTGTCTTTTCTGCCTAAAGGTCTTGCAAATCTGTTAGATTTACTCTTATTCTTTTACTTCGTTTATTTATTTGCTGAGAACTGTCCACAGGTTTCATTTTGTTTGTTGTTGGTGTGTAGAAAGAGATTTACTTTTGCATATTTATTGTGAGTTCTGCAATTTTTAAACTTCTGTTATTGTAGCAATTTAGAGATGATTTTGATTTTTCCATATAGATATTTGTAAAAGAACAATGACCGTTTCTCCATTCTTACTGTATTGACCTGGGCTTCTCATATGGTGTTGTATGGAGTACTGACAGGTTCCATCTCAGTTTTTAGAGAGGCCTGTTTCGTGTATCATAATTGAGCCTTGGCTTTTTTTTCTAACTATGCTGGACATTATCTAGTGCCTTCTTTTCCTTGTATGTGTGATTATATTGTCTTTAATCTATAATGTGGTAAATTGATTGATTTTTTTTAATGTAAAAAAACCCCATGCATTCCATGTAGAGTGTGATCTTTTTTCCTTTTCTTTTTGTTTGTTTTTCCTGTATAACGCATTGCTGGATTTGCCTGGTTCTTTTTCTTTCTTTTTAGATTGTACCATGCTATTTATTTATTTTTTTATTTGTATTGAGGATCGTACTCATGACCTCGTGCTTGCCAGGCAGGCACTTACACCACTAAGCTGAATCTCCAGCCCCATGATATTTATTTATTTATCTGTTTATTTATTTTACGGCACCAGGGCCTGCTTTTAAATTGTTCATCAAGGGAGCTGGGGATTTAGCTCAGCGGCATAAGTGCCTGCCTTGCAAGCAGGCAGTCGTGAGTTCGATCCTCGTTACCGATAAAAAGGAAAAAGACAAAAAAAAAAAAATTGTTCATCAAATTTATTCTGTTGTAGACTATACATTGTCTTGAAATAATTTAAAGAAATGTGATTGCTGTTTACAGATAGTTTTGATATATCTTCCATACTTGTGTCTGCACACATAAAATGAAACCTTCCAAACATTTTGTTTCAAGTTTTTATTAAAATATGGTTGCTATTTACTATTGGTATTGTGTTTATAAACAAATTTACTTAAAGTTAAAATAAAGAAATGAGATAGGAAAGTGATCTTGTACTTTAATTGGCATTTTTGTTAGCAACTTCTCTTCTTTATATGCTTGTATTTAGGGAGAATCTCATATACTTTACAGATTATTCCTAATAAATATACTACGGTAAGCTCAAAGAAAAGCTCACAGAAGTACTGGAATTCCTGATTATGACATAGGCTCAGGGTGATCTATTCCTCCGGGCTCACTCACAATGTTTTGTATTTTAGAAATCATTTTGTTTCCTTGAATTTTACTTAAGCTGAGAATAGTTTTAAATTGATTAAAAGTTGAATAATATTTATAGTTGCAAAAGATAGAATTTTTTACATTTGATTATGAGATCTCTAGTGTAATATATAATATCACTTTATCTTATTTTTAAATTTCCTTTTATAGCATGAGAACTTAACATTTATTAATTTTTGCATTTATTTTTAACTTGTTTTATTAGCCCCAAGAAATACTTACTCAAACTTCATTCTGCTTTGATTCTCATTGGTTGTTAATTGAATATCTCTGTTAACTGTGATTTGCATCCTCCTGCCTATTCAGTTAGCTCTTGTGTCTTGGAGGATGTGAATTGTGTTCTCATGGACTGTCAGGGCTTTATTTTGAAGGTGAAATCATCACGCTTGCTAAATTCAGTGACCATGGAAGTGGCAGTTTTTGTGACTGACCCTATGCCACCTACTGCAGTGGGGCACATACAGCTCTTCCTAAGTGCACAGGGTAATGCTGCGGGACCTTGTATTTGTGACAGTTCCTGGGCTGTGCTGGATGATTCTGCTTTCCATGTCACTCTAGGCTCAATTCGTGAGGAGAATGGGGTGCGGTGGCATGTGTGCCCCTACTGCACCAAAGAATTCCGGAAGCCCAGTGACCTTGTGCGCCATATCCGTATTCACACCCACGAGAAGCCCTTCAAGTGTCCGCAGTGTTTCCGGGCATTCGCTGTGAAGAGCACGCTGACAGCTCACATCAAAACCCACACCGGAATCAAGGCCTTCAAGTGCCAGTACTGCATGAAGAGCTTTTCCACCTCAGGGAGCCTCAAAGTACACATCCGCCTGCACACAGGTACGTATGCCCCAGAGGAGGGGCTGGTACCCAGCACCCAGAGGAGGGGTGGCAGTAACTAAGTTTCTGGTGGTTCATTTTCCGTCCTCCTATGAGCTCTGCCTTGATTCTCATGAAGCTAATGTTATAAGGAGGAGGGCATTTGAAATGCAGCTTTTGTGAATAAAAATATAATTGAAAATCATGAAGAGGCTGCTTATGGGAGATCCACTTTAGACAGCCAAGGAAAGAAGCTCATAGTCCACAATCCCAGAGCTTTAGTGTCTGCTGTTAGCCAGATACTGGCCTGGGCCTCTCTGGCGAGGCCTCGTTAAGCCCAGGCCGTTAGCAAGCAGGGAGACCTAGATAGATATATACTGTGCAGCCCCAAATTTTCTTGTCACTGTTAGGGCATGAAGATTTTTATATATTGGTTCTACATCTTTTAAATACAGCTTTATCACAAAACAACTCACTATAAAATTCACAAGGTGCACAACTTAGAATTGTACATCCCATATACTATCCTATCTAACTGGAACCCTTTTATCACCTCTCAGAAACGCTGTACTTCCTAACAGGACCGCCTCATAGGCCTGAGGGCTTCCACTAGATTCTCTGTGGCTGAATATCCGAGGAAGCGAAAATGAGTTGAGTTTGTTAGATGTCCTTCCTTAGAATCTACATTTTCATTGACAGTACATTTTTAAAAGGAGGACATACCTTTCCTTCAGAAAGAGGCATAGTAGTAGAGGATGTTAGCAGGATATTTCTTCTATCATTATTATTGCTGAGTCACTGTCAGCTACCTCTCAGGACTGATTTATGAGACACCAAGTACCACAGCTGGGGAGATGGATGTTGTCATTCCAGTGTACAGGTGGGAATTCAAGGCAGATAACTTGTGTACATTTCAGAATTCTTTTTTCTTGTTTGTTCATTTTTGGCATGGTCTCAGTAAGCAGTTCAGACTGGCCTTGAGCTCACTTTGTAGCCCAGGTTGGTCTTGAACTTGCAGTGACCCTCCTGTCTCAGCCTCCTGAGTGCTGGAATTACCAGCGTGTACCACCATACTTGGCTCATTTTAGAATTCTTATGTTGAATATATACACTTTATATATTCACAGATTTTGTCCTAAAGACAGAAAATTGTTTCTTTTTTACTTTAAATGCTCTTGGTAATGTATATAATATGCACCATATACAAACTAGGGGAAATATAATCCCTTTATAATTCATGAAATTATAAGCATGGAATAATAAATTGAATATTCAAATCAATATTAGGAATACTAACATTTTATGTTGGCGTTTGTTGTTGAGATAGAGTTTCTTGAAATAATTCTAAAATGTGCTTTTATTTTCATTAGGAGTTAGGCCTTTTGCTTGTCCTCACTGTGACAAAAAATTTCGAACCTCAGGCCATAGGAAGACCCACATTGCTTCCCATTTTAAACACACGGAGTTACGGAAGATGAGGCACCAGCGTAAACCTGCAAAGGTTCGTGTCGGGAAGACTAACATTCCGGTCCCCGACATTCCTTTGCAAGAGCCAATTCTCATCACTGATCTAGGTAAGGTGGGCTCCAGGGATCTAGGTAAGGTGGGCTCTAGGGTGTCTTTACACCTGGCCAAGTACACTTACCTTTAGTGCTTGCAAAGGATGTATGCATATTATGGTGCATGTAGGTATATAGTGCTAGACATGGTAATAATGTTTTGTTCATTTGTTTGTTTCCCAATTAAAATTAAAATCCTACACCACTGCTCAAATTGTGGTGTCGGTTCAGAGAAACAGTATGAAAGCAAATAGAAGTCTTCATTAAAGATGTGTTTCTGGCTCAGAGAACATCCACGTGACAAGGATTTTTTATGTGGGATGTACAGTGAACTTGTTTGTATCTTTGAATTCCCATGTGTTCCAAGACATCTTACTATTTGGGCTATAATCTTTTCATTGAAAAGCAAAAGCAAATCTTGCCTGTAACCAAGCCATTTATGATTTTTAAAAATTTTATTTTAAAGAGAATAAAACAAAAGAGGACAGAACACAGCAATGTAAGCAACACAGCACTTTACAACAGGACAATCAGATATTAACAATAGCTACCATACTGTCTCTTTCTTTGAAATAGCTGGGCATACCTTCACATAAAATAATATCAAACATAACAAAATAGTATGAAACCATTCAAGAGAATGAAAGTATTACAGGGCATTCAGAACCAAATAACAGAAAATGAATAATCCCTACTATATTATCTCATTTTCCATAAAAAATTTGTTTATACTATCACGCATATGAAAATCCACTAAGACACAATATGGTAGGACCAATGGAAAGAGACCAACAAAAGCATGGTAGGACTTCAAAGCAAGATGATATTAAATCAGCAATGGCTGCTATAATGTCTTGTTTTCTTCAAAATAGCTGTTCAGACCATCACACATAATAAAATCAAACAAAACAGAATAAAACCATTCCAACCAATGAGTGAAAACATTATAAGGCTTCAAGGCAATGTAATGGGAAACCATTATTACCATCAGATTTTATGTACTCATTATTTCTTACACTAGGGAGACTATACGGTATTTACACATGTGAGTCTGATTTATTTCACTTATGATATGGTCTGAAGTTGCGTCCATTTATTTATAAATATCTCAATATGATCATTTTTTATAGCTGAGTAGTGCTCCATTATATAAAAGTACCACAACTTTTTTATCCATTCCTCAATTGTTAAGAGAATACTCTTTACTAGAGTCTTCAGAAAAACAATGTTTATGTAATTACTGGAAATTTAAGAAACCTGTTTTATCCTCTTTGGGCTGCTGAACAAAAGTAGCTTAAATAAGTAGTTTATAAATAGTAGAAAATTTATTTGTCATATATCTAGAGACTGAGAAGTCCAAGATCAAGCTGCTGGCAGATTTAGTATCTGGCAAGGGCCCTCTTCCTTACAGGTTGCACCTTTTCTGTGCATGTTCCCATATGGCAGAAGAAAAGGCCATGCAGCTCTCTAGGCGAAGTACTGGTGCTGAGTACTAATCTGTAGAAATAAAGGTCAAAACCAACAGCAACAACACAAGAAAAGAGTACTAATCCCATTCGTGAAGGCTCCACCCTCAATATCTAGTAACCTGTGGGAGCTCCTCCCCAACACTATTATTTTCACTTAATGTTTAGCTTTTGACATGTGAGTGTTTTGGGGGAAGCACAAGCATTCAGACTGTAGCATTCATTAAATTCTGTGTATGAATTTATATTTTATACAGTTTCTGTGTTACGTAATTTTCTCAAGATAATCCAGTCTATAAGCACAAGTAATATCAAATAAAGTATAATTTAGTATAAAAAAGATTAAATGGCATACAGAAATACATTTTAAATTAATATAATAGGCCACCAATAAAATTAACCTTTGTAGATTCTAAAAGCATAACATCAAAACACATGATCCAAAAACAATTAGAAACAAGGGGAAATATTCAAATCCTCAAATGTAGTGAGAGATCCTTAATTAGGAAGGTCAATTTAAATAACAGTAAAATTGAAGATTTGAGAATACATATACCAAAGTGTTTTAAATAGTTTCATTGGCTTTTAACTGTAAAATACACATTTTTTCAAATGTGGGTGAAACAGATATTTGCATCTTATGGTATAGAAAAACTTCTGTAAATTTTCAAAAGTCGATGTGTATGTAGGACACAGTCAACACAGTTCCATGAAAACTAATAAGAATAGTCCTTCAGAATTTAATTGTATGGAACAGAAAGACGCAAAACTGATATTTTTATATTATAGTTGCAAACAGTATATAAACACATCGGCTATCTCAAAACTGCCTGAGAAGAATAAAGATATTTGAGTATTTCTTATTAAAAAATCAGATTGAAGATAGATAAATGTTTAACTCAAAGTGGAGATAAGCAAAACACTAGCAGAAAAAAATTAGCACATGTAAAAAGATTTAAGATAAATTTGAAAGCTTTATAAGGTTTTAAAACAAACGAGAAGTAAAGCAACATTAGCAAGCAGCACAGAAAATGAGCAAATAGAGTAAGAATGAAAAGGATGCTGTAAGCACAGACAGAAACTTGCAAATCAGTAACTCGTTCTCAAACAGGAGACAGTTTAAAATGAAGTACTTCTTTTCCTGGGTAGTATCCTTGTCAGCATTGACTTTTACAAGCAATAGAATACCTCGAAACACGGAAGGTTGACAGGCAAGGGACGGTCGTCTCCCCAGCGTCCAGGGCCTGGGGTTGATGTACGAGTTCCGTCGTGTTTCCTGGGCCTGTGAGGGTTGTGGGGTTTGTCTCCCGTAGTAGGTTAGAGCACTGTGATACTCTTCTCCAACCACTCTCTTCTTTCGGGTTCTAGATCTGATTAAATGCCTGTGGGTTTCTGTGTTGAAGCTTATAAATCTTGAGTTTTATTATATTAGTATCTTATTGTACAGAGTTTACCCATAATTAAAATGGCACATTTTGCTTGTTGGCTTCACGGGTGCCTGAATCGGAGACAAAATTACTGGCAGCTGAATTCTCCTTTGATTAGGCTGAGTGTGAAACACGAGGGGTTTTCTCTTTTACACTTAGTGTCACGTCTACACCTTTCGCTGTACTCTGAGCATCTCGTGGGCCACAGAAAAGGCCCAAGTATGAATTGATACTGATAGATACATGGCCAGGAAAGATTTCAGCATAGGAAAGTTTACGGTTACAGTGGTGCAGTGATACCTCGGCTCACGAGTGCTTTTTGTTTTTGGCCCTAAGTGTTTGGCAGAATTTTGTTTTTGTTTGTGAACTGTGCATGGGTTTTGAACATATCCGCAGCTGTCTTTTCCTGAATGTTTGTGAACAGGGTACCACTGTATTTAACTTGATTGGGAGGTGGAGTACTCTGGTGCAGTCTAGCTGCTTAGGGCATAACATTTTTTACACTAAGAATGTCATTTTAAAAAGTGTTAGAATTCATTAAAAATACTGCATGAATAATTTCCGATTTTTAAGGAAAATAATTGGATGGTGAAGTACCACATATTTTTAAAAAACTTCGAAGGATTCATATTGTCTTAGTCACTTTCTAATTGCTGGGACAAAGTCTTGGGTATCCAGAGATAAAGGAGGGATGGTTTGTTTTAGCTCATAGTTTGTAGAGGTTTCAGGCCATAGGTGGCAGGCTCCAAGGCAGGGTGCCCTGGCGGAAGAAAAACAGTGTATGGTAGGGAGAGCAGGAAACAGTGAGCTTACCTTCCATCTGTCCCTTTATTTTTCACCCAGGCTACAAATCTATAGTTTGGTGCCACCCACACCCAGGGCAAGGCTTCACTCTTTCAGTAATCCCATGATTCACAGCCATTTTAAACCAATCAATGGACTGGCCCAGTTATCACACCTATAATGTAGTATCATATACCCATGCTCCAGTCATCTCCCCAAAGCCTCATCCCTGAGTGCGTGAGGTTCAGTGGGGGCACATCTTAGATAGAAACCATAATATCCACGAATTTAAGAACAGTCTTCACAACTTTCTCTACTTTCCCTATTCCTTAATTTTGCAGATGTAAATACTGTAGTCTAGGGTAGGGTGATAATTCTTATTTTAGTCATGCAGCTGGCTGATATTCATGGTAGATGTGGAACCTTAGATCTTCTGATTTCTAGGTCAGGGTTGAACTTTACTGAAGCTTACGTGTTTTTGGTTTTGGACTGTATATAATGAGATAGTTTGGGGGATAGAACTCAAATATAATCACAGAATTCATTTGTGCGTCATGTGCACCATATACAATAGCCTGAAGTTAACTTCATATATTTAGTGCGTTTGCGTTTTGGTTGGAACTTGTCACAGAAAGTGGAAATAGAAATAAAGAAGCAGGTTTAAGAGACATTGGAGAGCCTCGATGTCGGGACTGGCAAATAACATTTTAATTAGACAGGGAAAAGCGTTTTCAAAGATGCTGAAATACCTGCCCTGGGGGACTAGAAGAATGGGGTTCCTTATGCTGCAGTGGAGAAGCCGGGAGGAGCAATAGGCTTTAACGGAAGGAACTGCAATGGAAAAGGAAAAATAGAGCCTCTTAAGAAGTACGTAATTATGGGATAGAAGTTTGAGGTCTGCTGCGGCAGAAGGCAGGACTGCAAATGGAAATTCCTTTCATAACATTTTTGTGGAAATGCTTATTTTATTTCAGAAAAAAAGGACACGTTAGAGTAATTTGTTTTGAGTTTACAGTTCCTTATGTACAATATTCATACTGAGTAAGCAGGGGATTTAAAATCCTGACCTAAATTTTGTAAATCCTGACCTAGTTTTCTCAACAAATTGTTACATAGAAAATAAATGTAGAAATCCATTAAAAATTGTCTGTAGAAACAAGTAATTGTAACAGTATACGTATCTTCATGTTATGAAGGTAGTGCATTAATCCATAGATATTCCTATTTAAATAGTTTCTAACATGATTAAAATGGCATTTGGTTACAATACTGGAATCTATAACATCACAATTTTCATTTTCCGGGCAAAGCACATGCTTTTTGACATTTAATTTTATTATTTGTGTGTATAGTGAATTATTCTTGTTTTTCTTTTGGTTTATAGGTCTTATTCAGCCCATTCCAAGAAACCAATTTTTCCAAAGTTATTTTAATAATAATCTTGTAAATGAAGCAGATAGACCTTACAAGTGCTTTTATTGTCATCGAGCATATAAAAAATCTTGCCATCTTAAACAACATATCAGGTAAGGTAATATGGACTAAGAGGTGGAAATTTAGTACAGTTTTACAAAGATTTAATGATCTGGTCATGTCTAGAAATATTTAGAATGGTACTATTAGCTTTTGATATTTAAAAATCACACTGACACCAAAATAGTTACTAGTAATTTGAATTGTTTTTTATTCTTTAGTATTTTTTCCTTTCTTGCCTGTATCAGGGATTGAATCTTGTTCCTTGCACATGTTAATAAGCTCCTTACCACAGAGCTATGTCCCCTAGCCCATTTTTAAAAATTGTATTTTGAGACAGGGTCCTGGTTAACTTGCCCACACTTGCATCAGACTTGAGATCTTTCTGTTTCAGTCTCTTGAGTACCTGGGATTAAAAAGTGTGTACCACTAGGTATGGTGGCTCACACCCTGGGAGGCTGAGGCAGGAGGATTACAAGCTGGAGCTCAACCTTCGTGACTTGGAGAGACCTTGCCTCAAAGTGAAAGAATAAAAAGGATTAGGAAGGTAGCTTAGTGCAAAGGCCCCAGGTTCAGTCCCAGTACACAAATAAAAAGGTGTGTATTCCTGCCCTCAGTTCTTCCGTGTCTTGACTAAAGTATTTTAGTTGGGAAATTGTTACTGAATTTTACTTCTGGTCCAATCGTATTTCACTATTTGCAATTTCTAGGAGCTGTCAAACAATATTTGATTAGATTAGAATTTCCTTTAAGTTTGTCAAGTGTATGAAAAGAAAGTAGACATTTGATTATGAGGAACAGTGTAACATGGACAAACTTTAGAATTTAAAAGACACAAGTTTCTCATTCTTCACTGCGTGCAGCTCTGCGTCTTTGGCAAGTCATTTAGCCACTTGAGTCTCACTCTTGTTATTTGTAAAATGTGAAGTGTTATGTCTTTGCTGCCTAGTTTTAAAACGTGATGATCAAGTGATATATATATATATAAATATAAGCATTATAAACAAATAAGAAATATGTTCATTGCAATGTTTTCTTTTTAGGTCGCATACGGGTGAAAAGCCTTTCAAGTGTTCTCAGTGTGGAAGAGGCTTTGTTTCTGCAGGGGTGCTCAAGGCTCATGTCCGGACACACACTGGACTGAAGTCTTTCAAGTGTCTGATATGTAATGGAGCCTTCACTACCGGCGGTAGCTTGCGGCGGCACATGGGCATCCATAATGACCTCCGTCCCTATATGTGTCCCTATTGTCAGAAAACGTTTAAGACCTCACTGAATTGCAAAAAGCACATGAAAACCCATAGGTAGGTATAACTCTGATGATCACGTACTGTTTTTATAGTTCTAAGATGGTAGTGGGGAACATTTTAGAAAATAAATGTCTTTGATTCCCGTATAGTCATTTCTTTTTTTTTTTGTCTTTTTCCTTTTTATCGGTACCGGGGATCGAACTCACGACTGCCTGCTTGCAAGGCAGGCGCTTAGGCCACTGAGCTAAATCTCCAGCCCCCCCCACCCAGTCATTTCTAAGTTGGAGGATGTAGGTAAAGGGACTTGGCTCTAGTATCTGAGGCTCTGTGGAGAACATTGTCATTTTTATTTAAAAACATAACTGTGAAGCAGTCTTTACTGGGCCAAATGTTTTTGTTGAAAATCTTTTTTTGTTTTATTTACTTACTGATTTTACACATTCACTTTTTTAAAAAAATTAATTTGATTTTAGGTGTATATATATTGACAGCATTCATCATAGGGCAGTTGTTCCTGCATGATATATCTTCTTTTTTTTCCCAGTCCCTTACCCTCCCTTCAAACCTCTTCCTCTCCTTATTTGCAAAACCTTGTTTCCATTTTTTCCTTCTTGTTTTCTTTCTTTTTCTTTTGACCTCCTTCCTTTCCTCCTCCCCCTTCTCTAGTTCTCCTTCCTATTTGAACATTTTCTTTCTATTTCACAATACCTAGTTTACATTTTGGTCCTTATTTACACTTTTGGTTTCTCACACCAGAGAAACTGCAGTATTTTCATACCTGTGTCCTATTTATTTCACTTAAGAGTTTGATCTCAAGGTGCATCCATTTACCCAGAAATGTCTCAAGCTTACCCTTCTTTATGGCAGAATAGTATTCTGTTGTTTAAAAAACTCACATTTTCTTTATCCCTTCATTAGTTGATGGACATTTGGGCTGTTTCCAAGATTTTAGCGGTTACAAACTGTGCTGCTATAAACATGAGTATATGCAAATTCCTTTGTAAAGCTCATTGTCAATAATTAGGTGATATGGTAGATTATGCCTAATACAGTTGGTTAGTAAAGATTTCAAAAAAGAAAAATCTTGGTAGATCTTGTGATTTCTGGCCATGTTATTAGTAGTGAATCTCAGATTGACTTAAAGAATATGTTTGAGATATCCCAGGAGTCCATCATTCAATGTAGCCTTTGTTTTCACTTGACTGGAGGGCTAGGTCATCTCTAATGGAGGTAATCCAAAAGAGAGGCATTTCTGATTAGACCAGGGACTTGCTGGATGCAATCCTATCAATCCAGGCATTGTTGTGTGCCATGCAGAGAAGGATAAGATGACTGCCCCTCAGCTTATTTGAAATGAGTCACTACGCTGTATTGAGAATGTTCCGCTTTCTACCCTGGAGCATTTACTTCTGGGCAGACAGTAATTTAACACACAGGCTTCTTCCCCAGTGCTCCCTACAAAACCAAACTTGAAGTGTTGGAATACGGTCACTGTGACAGTTTTTTGTTGCAGTGGTCTACTGTGTTAATATCGATGAATTATAGGTTTTAAGAGTCTTATTAACTCAATGTGGCTGTCATCCCAGTGTTCTGGAAGAGCAAGGTGGGAAGGCTGCAGATTTGAATCTAGCCTGGACAGTTTAGCAACTTAGTGAGACCTGTCTCAAAAACGTTTTGTTTTGTTTTATTTTAAATTGGTCTGTGCGACCAGATGCTGTATTTCATTTGTGTGTTTGAAATGTTGGGAGTTCCCAAAATACTACACACTTAGAGTAAATATTTATATACGTTGTTAGTAAAATTAGTGAAAAACAAAAACAAAAACCTTTAGGCAAGCAAGAAAAAAAGCAGGCCCCCACCTGTTAGCACGTGAGACACAGGCCCTCAGAGACAAGCTGTAAAAGCAGCTGGGTGTGTCACTGCAAATAAAGCTTGCAGTAGTGTGAGGACATGTTTTCTGATGCCACATTTTCCTTATCATTTATGTGTTGATGGGCATATAGGCCACTTGATAATTCAGCTATTACAGATTGTGCTGCTATAAATATGGGGATGCATGTCTCACTGTAATGTTGTTTTTAGCTCTTTTCATGGAGATACTCAGAAAAGGTATAATTGGGACAAGTGGAATTTCTATTTTTAGTTTTTAAAGAATCTATGTATTGATTTCCATAATGGTTGTACTAGTGTGCATTCCCACCAACAATGTAAAAAGATTTTTTCTCCACAACCTTGCTAACATTTGTTTTTTTGATAATAGCTATTCTTTCTGCACTTAAGAGAGAATCTCAGTGTTGTTTTGATTTGCATTCCTGTAATGGCCAAAGATGCTAAACATTTTTTCACATACCTGCTGACCATTTATGCTTCTTTTGAAAAATGTCAGTTCATTTCATTTTCCCATTTTTCCCTTTTGGTTTTTTTTTTTAAATTTTTAGTTCTTTATGTACTTTTTGATACTAACCCTCTGGGCAGTACCTGTTGAATTTCTCTTCCCATTCTGTGGGTTGTCTCTTTGCTCTGTTGAATGTTTCCTTGGCTGCGCACAAGCTTTTTCATTTGATATGATGTTGTTTGTTGATTCTTGATGTTATGCCTTGTGTAATTAGGGTTCTGTTCAGAAAGTCCTTGCCTATGCCTCTGTCTTCAAGAGTTTTACCTATTTTATCTTCTAGAAAATTCAGTGTTTTATTTTTATATCTAAGTCTTTGACCCATTTTAATTTGACTTTAACACAGAGTGAGAGATACGGTTTTAGACTTTTCTGCATGTGGATGCCCAGTTTTCCCAGCAGCAGTTATTAAATAGACTGTCATTTGTCTGGTGTGTGTTTTTAGCCCTTCTGTCAAAGAGTAGATGGCCAAATGCCTGGTGTTCCTGCAGTCTCAGTTCTCTTCTGTAGCTCCACATGCCTGTTTTTGTGTCTGTGCCGTACTATTTTTATCACTGTAATATAACTTGGCATTTGGTTTGTAATGTTTCCTGCCTTGTTCTTGCTTCTCAGGATTGCTTTTCCTGTTTAGTTTACTTCTGGTTCCATTTTAGCATAACTTTTTTCCTAGATCTGGGAAGAATGCTGTTGATGTTTTCGTTGGGATTACATTAAATCTATTTTGACAATTTTAGTTCTGCTTATCCAGGTATGGGATGTATTTCCATTTTCTGATACCTTCTTCAGTTTGTTTTTTCAGAGTTTACATTATGGACATCATTCACTTCCTTGGTTATGTTAATTCCTGCATACTTTTTTTTAAAGCTATTACGAAAAGAATTATTTCCTCATTTTTTTTCTCAGTGAGTTTATTTTTGGTTTGTAGTAATGCTGTTGATTTTTTTGTCCTGTTACTTGCTTTGTTTATTAGTTATCAAGGGTTATTTGGTGGAGTTTTTTGGGTCTTCTATATAAAAGATCATGTCATCTGCAAATAAGCATAATTTGACTTCTTTTTGGTACTGGGGATTGAACTCATGACTTCACAATTATCAGGCAAGCACTTGAGCCCCTGAGCTAAATCCCTAGCTCTAGTTGGACTTCTTTCTTTGCTATTTGAATACCTTTTAACTTCTTTCTCAGGCCTGATTTCTGTGACTAAAGTTTTGAATACTCTGTTGAACAGGAGTGGTGAGAGTGAATATCCTTGCCTTGTTTCTAAGGCATTTTACTTTTAAACATCTGGCATCTTTTGTTGATTTTTTTAAACTTTGAAAAATTCTGATGTGTATTGTCTGACTTTTCTCTTTGTGCATTCACATCCTGTGGCTTGTGGCAGCGCTTAAAGCATAGTTTTATTCAGAATCATTAGTAATGTTTAGTACTTGATGGATTGTCATCATGACTTCGGAATTGTTTGGAATGTAACAATGTAAGAATAAAATTGTTTTTCAACAAATTGTACGTTTATTGTTGTACCCAGGTAAGCATTGTTGATAGTATCTAACTTTATGAATTAATGTTGCCTTTTTAAAAGATACGAACTTGCTCAGCAGCTTCAGCAGCATCCGCAGGCTGCTTCGGTGGTCGACAGCTCTATGGAGCAGCAGAGCATGCAGGTGTCTGCTCCCTTGCCAGTGGAAATTGAGAGTGGCGAGCTGCAGCAGACGGCCGAGGCGGTCTCAGCAGACCCCGAGAGCATGCTAGAACTGGGGCCACAGCATGTGGTTGGTGCAGAGGAGGGAGCGCTGGGGCAGCAGCTGACAGCTCCGCCTTTGGAAGCCGATGAAGGTGATACTTCTTTCACTTAGAGAATAATCCTGCAGTGTTTTTCAAGCCTGTCATTCTCATTGCTGTCCCTGCTGGGATCACTTCTCTTTGGTTTTGGAATTATAGTTTGTGCTGTGTATGTATGAGACTGTGTGTGTGTGTGTGTGTGTGTGTGTGTGTGTTCAATGTTTTATATTGTCCCTTCCAGTATTTAATCAGACTTTTATTTTTCAATTTTATTAGATTCTTGTTTGTTTTAAACATAAAGTAATCTAACTTCTTAGTAACAAATTTTGAAAGGATTCTAAGTCTTCAGTCTAAAAAAATTAAAAGATTTTCAGTAAAATCTACTCTGTATTTTTTGGTGTGCATTCTTCCAGTTATTTTAAAGCATATGTTCAGGCATGCTTGTGAATGTTGATTTGTGTGTACATGTTCCCTATGCTTACTGAAATAGAGGTCTCTGCATAATCTGCTTAGTATTTTAGGAGAGTACGCTCAAGAGTGTAGACTCTCAGATAGAAACAGGTCAGCAAACTGTTTTTTCCTGTCTGTGGTGGCGTTAGGTACCTTATCCAAAATATAAAGCAACAGGTTGTTTCCTTCATTAATACAGTTGGACTACAAAAAACTGTCAACTTGGCCATAGGAGTATGATTAGTTTTACAGATAATTTGCATTATGACGCAGGCTTGTTATCTTTGTGTGTGTGTGTGTGTGTGTGTGTGTGTGTGTGTGTAGGTGGTTTTTTGAGAAAGGGTTTCGCTATGCAGTTAGGACTTGCTTTGAGTTCACTTTGTAGCCCAGGCTGATCTTGAACTGGAAACGATCCTCCTGCCTCAGCCTCCCAAGTGGTGGGATTACAGGTGTGAGCCACCACACCTGGAGGAGGCTTCTGATCTTACACAAATTTGTTAGCAAATAGTTTGCTGACCAAGTTAGTTTTGTTTTTTGAATGTCCCAAAATATATTTTAGTCTGTACGTAGGATTATGCACTTTTTTAATCCCCTGTGATTCATGTAACAATAGGCATCTCAAGATTTTAAACAGTTGCTGAGGCCAGGGCATGGTATTGTCTGCCTGTAATCCCACCACTTGGAAGCCTGAGTCAGAAGGATTGTCCTGAACTCAAGGCCTGCCTGACCCTGTCTCAAAAAACTAAAAAGTTGCTGAATACATAGAATTTTAGAATGTTATTTTATAGGATTTATATGTACATACTATACATATCTATGTATGTATGTATGTATGTATACTATTGTAGAATGATTATATAGCATTACTATTTTCAAAACAAGACTAACTTTTGAAAATACCTTTAACAAATAAGTGGTTATAGAGTAACTTGCAAGTGTTCTGTCTTTCTTTCTCTGTACTCTTGTCAGTAGATGGGTTTGCAGCCCCTCAGGATCCTCTGCCGGAGCACATGGAGCAGTTTGAAGAGCAGGCTCCCTCACAACAGTCCTTTGAGCCAGCAGGGCTATCACAAGGTCAGTGTGGGCTTCAGGGAGATTTGCACATGAGCCCATTTGTCAGGGCTTATTTATTCATTTATTTATTCATTTATTAAGAGGAAATAAAACAGCCAAGCAAAACAAAACAAAAAAAAAATGGAGCAGAAGTGAGAACAATATTTAATTTCAAAAACAAGACAGGAGATAATCCCCATAGTTGCTATGTTGCACATTGTGATCCTCTAAGTAGTTGTTCAGACTACAGTCTTCAGGCCTGCAGAGTCAGTGAAGCAGTTCAGACGTGAAGCTGTTCGTTTACTTCGCTTGCTGTCTTCTCAGCCTGTGTTCCTCTGAGTCAGCTGGTTGCTTGGGTGGAGGGTGGTGGCAGGCTGTTTTGCTTACTGGCACACGACTGCTGCTGCACCACAGGAGGGTGAGGCTTGGCTCCTTGCTCTCCTCCTGCCTAGATGACTGCTGCTGGTTCCAGGCTTCACTTTTACAGTCACCTTAGGTATTCCTCTAAAAGCCCTTCTAAAACGTGTAGTTTCAAATCTCGTAGCTTTTGCAAGTGTTATGTAATTTTTAAAATACATTTTTGGAGCTGTTGATAAAAGTAAATTCTGGTTCTTCCTTTAGCTATCTTTTATTTATAAATACAACTTATTTTCTTTTTGATAAATGTAATTTTTTTTATAATATTCCTATTTCTATTTCAGGCTTTACAGTGACTGACACATACAATCAACAGACTCAGTTTCCTCCTGTGCAACAGCTACAAGATTCTAGTACGCTTGAATCTCAAGCTTTATCCACAAGTTTCCACCAGCAGAACTTACTGCAAGTTTCGAACTCTGACACAATTAACGTAGTGAGTGTCTTCAGAAGGGATATGTACCTGTCATTGTCTAGCAAATGCTGTCCAGTTGTTTGCAATATATATATATTTATTTATTTATTTATTTTGCAACAGGGTCTCATTATACAGTTCAGGCTGGCTGTGAACTCACTCTGTAGTCCAGGCTAGCCTTAAACTCACAGGAATCCTCTTGCCTCAGCCTCCTGAGTGCTGGGATTACCAGTGTGTGCCACCATACCCAGCATGCTGTAATTATTTAGAAATTGCTTATTTACAAAAATGTGCCCATTTATGGCACCACAAAGTTAGTACATTCTGTGCAAAAACTTTGGTGTATAGCACACAGGACTTTCTCTTACCTTAAAATATCTTAAGAGGGTCAGCACTGTGATGAGACTCTGTCTTTTGGCTAAAAAGGAAGTCATTGTAGTGTTGTGCAATAAAATCTGAAGGATGTTGCTTTAGGCACTAAATTTAAATATTTAGAGAATGTTAAATATGTTAGAGGAAAAATAAATTTAATGCTGCGATATCAAAAACAAGTGTGTATGTATATATGTGGAGATACTGGGAAATGAAACCAGGGTCCTTACACTGAACTACAGATCTCCAGCTTTCTTATATATATATAAAAAAAAAAGTTTGGAACAGGGTCTCTTTCAGTTGCTAAGGCTGAATTTAGACTTGTAAGCCTTCTGCCTCAGTTTCCCAGAGTGCTGGCATTATGTGTTGTCATGCTCAGTTTTAAAGCAAGTATTTAATCACAATTTAAAAATTCTATGTCTTATTGAAGTTGGAGTTTTTGATTGTTTTTCTGTTCATGGAATTTATTTTTAAATAGTGTTGAAAATGATTGACCATTCAGTTATGATCTGTCTTTAAAATTTGCTGATAGCTTTGCCCAGTGATAGGCCTAAAATGTTATAGCACTTTTTCATAGCTAGAAAGCACATAATTGATCATAGGTTCTGAATCTGGGCATAGAAAATATGTTGCTTAGTGACTTAGGCTCACTGTAGAACCCTTGCAAGCAAAACTGTGCTAACCCAGTGCAAGTGATACAGTTGAAGGGGATTGTCTACTTCGGTCATGAAAGTTAAGTGAACAGATTAGAAACAGGTCCTTGTTTCCAGTAGTGTACATGATAGATTTCTACTCTTCACAGTCTGCCCTTTGACTCTCCTGGCTTACTCTTTACCCCATGTGAGTAGAATATATTTTGCACAGCATGTATTTTGGAGAGGTTGGAAAACATTGACCAGTAGTACTGTGGTAGCATGAGTTGTTATCCTTGTGTTGTAGGGAGGGTTAATGTAGCTGTTTGTGGATGTGGTACTGTTCCAGTGGGTGGAGGGTGGCTTTTCGTTTTTATGTCTATAGCTTTTGTAACAAAGACAGGAGACATAATCCTTTCAGAAGGTAAGATTTTTATTCACTGCCACTGTGTTAGCTTTCTGTTAGTATGAGACAATACTGGAGAACACCTGTTACAACTTATGGTGGCTCATTGCTTCAGTCTTTGGTCAGTTGGCTCCATTGCCTTTGGGCTTGTGCAGAAGCAGAGCATTATGGTGGGGAGTATGTGCAGAGCAAAGCAGCTTCCCCTCAGGCTGGCTGGGAAGCAGAGAGAGAAGCAAGAGGGACTGGCTCCCACTGTGTCCTTCAAGGGCAGTAGCCTCACTTTATTCCAGATGGCCTGCCTCCTGAAGGTTCCCTTGCCTTGGAATGAATAGCCCCAGTCCACAAGGACTGGCAACTACGCTGTTAGCAAATGGGCGATTGGGGAGATTTAAGATTCAAACTGTAGCGGCTAAGAAGAGTCAGACAATGAAAGAGCAACCTTTTATTAAGGTGTATCAGAGAATCAACTTCATGGTCAACTGTTTTTTTTTTTTTTTTTTGGTACCAGGGATTGAACTCATGACCTTGCATTTACTAGGCAAGCACTTGAGTCACTGAGCTAGATCCCCAGCCCCTCAGATGGATTTCATGTAACTGTAGGTTAGTGGAAAATAAGTATCTGTTTAATTTTGCATCAATGATGTTCACCATTGCTGTGGCCCAAATGATCACAGTGGAAACTTGCATTTTTTCTTCTAAAGCCACATTCCTGAGTGTTCATGTCTTCACTTTCTAGCTGTTGAGCTGTTTTATGTTTCTCCATGCCTACATAGCCTGCTTTACATTTCTGTTCATTCTAGACAACTCGTTTGATTCAGGAGCCGTCCCAAGAGGAACTGGACCTACAGACACAACGCCCCCAGTTCCTAGATGATGGTGAAGACCAGAGCAGACGCTCCCACAGGTAACATGCAGACTGGCCTGCAGACATAGCGCAGTACTGCCCAAGGGCTCGTGACTTTGCGTTCGGAGAAGCAGTGCTTTCTTAAGGATCTGAAGCAAAGGTTAAGTGGTCTGATTTACACTGCTAGTAAGCACAAGGGCCTGATTTTGGATGCAGCAGTCTTTCTTTCTAGTTTGTACATTTAATCCATTCTGCAGTAACTTTCAACCAACTTTTAAGCCATTATTATCATATTTTTAAAAATAAATTTAAATGGCACCTTTTTGTTTAAGATTCTTTGTGAGCCCCAGGAGAGGGTTTCTAAGGAGTTGTGGATGCATCTGCTGAATGATGTGTGTGGAGCACAGCTATGTACTGTGTGCGCACTGTACCCACACAGGACAGTGGCTCAGCCATCACAGACACTGGACAGGCCACTGTGTGTTCACAGTGAAAAGCATAGTACTTGTGAGATTAAAGATGAAAATACATTTCATGAGAACTAAAATGAGTGTTATCTTTTATAGGTTGCCTTAGTGTTACAGGATTTTAATAATTTTATTTATTTATAAAAATTTTTAAACAGTACTTTTTTCCAGAGCCAGTTAACAAAACACTAGCTCTGGTTCCTGGTTATAAGCCCCCTAAAAACTGATGAAGTACCTGTCTTCATGTGAATGGTCTTAAGATTTTTGAAAATGCGTGCTTTGGTAATATTAATAAACACATAATCCTTGAAAGGGTAAGTAATTACTTCATTACCTTTACATAGAATTTGTTTCTCAAACACAATGTTAAGTTGAGCCAGTGTTTTGTGCATTTGATTCTTGACCTTCAGAAAAGTAATATCCTGAGAGCTCAGTGAATCTGCTTGTTTAAGAAGATAATAAAACAGTGCTTTTTAACTTTGGGGGTTCAAGGGTTCTGAGGGTACATACATGGTATGTTTGAAAAGTACAGTGAATATCTAAATTAAATATTCAACACATTCATATCAGTCTCCCCCAGAACACTACCCTGGGTTTGGAACTCACTTACCTCCTTGTTCTGGCTAGCTTCTGAAGCAGTTCTTTTGCGAATATCTTCAGTTGCACTATCATGTCTGTCTTGATGTTCTAAATCCATTCAAAATGTTCGTCTTTCATTGTCACTTTGACTTTGGAGAAGAGCAGAAGTCATCAGGTGCCAGCCCCAGTGAATAAAGTGGATGAGCATACGCCACAGTGTTTTCTGTTGGCTGGCATTTGGTAGCAACCTTCACTGTGTTTATAATCCCATTTCATAAAGACCTTCATGAAGGAGGGCTTCTGGAGCTGCCTCAGACAGCGGCCAGAATGTGGGATAAGTCTGACTGCAGTAAGGAGCGGCATTGGGAGTGGAGTTAATGCTGTGTCTTTTACTGTGATACATTTTTTTAAATTTAAGCATTTACCATGTATTTTGATCACACCACATACAGATAGCCTCAGGGTTTCTGTGACTCTCCTGATATTTTATTTGCAGTTTGATTTATTTACTATGGATTTGTTTGCTAGTGTCTGTCTTGGGATTTTGCATTACTGTTTTCAGGTACCATTAATCTAATATTTCCTTATCATTTCATCATGGCATCTGCTTGGGCTTCCTGGACTTAGAGTCTCACCTCATTTATCCATTCATGAAAGCAACCCTTCAGAGCTTGTTAGGTGCTAGCCACTAGAGCCAGCTTAGCCACGATGGAGCTTATGCTCAGTAGAGAAGAAAATGAGTAAGAAGACCTCACTGAAGGCCAAGTGATACTGTGGCCCTGGTGCTGAGTACATGGCAGGTGTCTGCAGGGCTGCCATTACTATTGTAAGGGGTGATTATGAACTCTGAGCACATTTATCAGACGGAGTCTCAGAGGCTCCAATATAGGGTAAGATGTGAGGAGAGACAGAGATTTAACAGGACTGTGAAGCCTTTGACCTGAGCTTCAACAAGGCAGAGATCACTGTCATGTGACTGGGGCAGGTTTTAAGTTTAAGACCAAAGTTAGTTTTTGTCATTAAGACTGATGTTTAAGAAGAGTTTTTTCCATCAGACAGCAAGTCCATGCCTGGGAGTTACCAATACAAAGACTAGTATTTTAACTGAGGGATGCATACACAAAACATAGGTGGCTCAAAGACTGCGCTGTGGCCATTTCAGGAAGGGGTGTGCAGAGGGAGGAAGAGTGAACTATGGGGCCCATGTGGAACAGCCATGCGACAGAAGGAACTCTGAGGAAAAGTGTGCATGCGTTTTGTTCGTTTGCTTTTTGAGGAATGAATGTATTCTTTCACTGGGTTCTCAAACAGACCTGGGATCCTTCTCCTCCATATTAAGGAACACAGAACCTGTAATTTTATAATAAACAGACAGAGCAGTGAAGCTCTCAGATTTCAGATGAGTGAAGTCCCAGGCTGTGACCTCCAGGAACGCAGCAGACCCCAGTCTTTTCACCTGGTCTCGGTGGAGGAATTTATCTCAGGGTTGTAACAAGGATGAACTGAAATCCAATACTTCATGTGGTACTTGTCATAAGTGCTAGTCCTTGTAATTTGGTGATTATTAGACATGCTGGAAGATTTACTCGGTAGTATGTATATTCTATGAAGAGAGGGCAGGTGACCCATCCACAGACAGAGAAGGGTCTGTCCCAAGTGGACAACATCTGGGCCTTGAAGTGGCCGTGAGCCCAGGTTTGAGGTGGGAAGTTCCCTGGGGAAGTGGTGCAGACCCTGCTGGTCATACTGTTCTGGTTGAGAGGTTGTTTCTGTATAGTATGGCCAAGTCCTTTTGCTGGATGGTTGCTTTTAATTAGCAGAGGAGACTTTTGGAAAGTTTCTCTCTTGTACCTTGGCATAGTTCAAGTGGTCATGGTACCTTTCAGTCCTGCAAAGAGATTTTTATTATTGTTCATCATTGACCAGAGTCCATCCCTACTTCACATGCAGATTGACTTTTCTGATGCTTCCTTCCTGTTTTCGATAGGTAGATAGTCTCACCAAACCACAGAGGAGACTATAGCAAATGTTCATGTGTTTTCATTCACTCAGCTCTTAGTTTAAGTGCAAATTGCAGAGGACTGTAAACTGCATTATCCAGGCTATAATTCACATACAGTTAGAGTGCCATAACAGAGGAAGCTTTTAATATGTAAATAGGGATGCTGAAACTTCTAATTATTTCAATTTAATTTCTTTGTCTTTTTGAGACAGGGTCTTGTTATACAGTTTGGGCTGGCCTTGAACTCACTTTGTAGCCCAGGCTGGTCTGGAACTCACTCCTCCTGCCTCAGTTTCCTGAGTGCTGGGATTATAAGCATGTGCCACCATGCATGGCTTATTTTTTTTTTTTTAACGGATGGATCTTGAGACCATACCTTTTTTTTTTTGAAGAGAATAAAACCAAAAGAAATAAAACAATACAAATAATCAAAACAAAACAATAAACATGATACAAGACTTCAAAACAAGATAGAAGGAAACCAATAGTGGCTACCATGATGCTTCTTGCTATCTTCAAAATAGTTTCCCATACCATCACACATAATAAAATTAAACAAAACCGAACAGAATTAAATTAATCAAAACAAAACAATGAAAGCAATATAGGACTCCAGAACAAGACAGTTAGGAATACAACAGTGACTACCATAAAGCATCTTGTTATCTTCAAAGTAGGTACTTGTACCATCAGACGTAATAAAATAAAACAAAATAGAATAGTCAATCAATACAAAACAATGGATGTGATACAAGGCTTCAAAACAAGATAAAAGGAAAAGAATAATGGCTACCAAAATGCCTCTTGTTATCTTTAAAATAACTGCCCTAATCATTAAGCATAATAGTCAAAACAGAGCAGAATAAAACCAATCAAAACAAAGAAAAGAATGCAACACAGGACTTCAAAACAAGGAATACGACAGTGGTTACCATAGAGCATCTTGTTGTCTTCAAGGTAGCTGCTTATACTATCAGACATAATAAAATCAAACAAAACAAAGTAGAATAAAACCAGTCAAAATAAAGAAATATGAGGCTTCCAAACAAGATAATAGGAAAGCAATAAGGGCTACTATAATAACACATTTTGTTATTTTTGAAATAGCTGTCCATGCCATCAAATATGAAAACATCAAAAAAAAAAACAAAACAGAATAGAACCAAGCTAAACAGAACAATGAAAACAATACAAGGTTTCAAAACAGGATATAGATTAGCAGTGGCCACTGCCTTCCCCTTCTAGACATCTCCTTCCCTTTCACCTTCACAACTTCTATCGTGCATTTTGGATCCCACTAATTCCTTTAGTTTTTCATGCTAGGGAGACAATACGATGATGTTCACCCATGTGACTGAACCATGTCACCCACGAGCATGATCTCAAGTTATATCCGTTTACCTACAAGAGCCTTGAGGTTCTCTTTCTTTATAGCTGAGTAGCTTTCCATCGTATAAAAATGCCATAGCTTTCTTATCCATTCTGCAGTTAATGGACAAGCTACCTCTGCTTTTTTTTCTGACTCCCTGTCACATAGAGCATTGTTTTCTCACCTTTGACTTTCAGTCTGTGACTTTCCTTTTGAGTTAAATGTTTCTTGAATAAAAGATAGTGATGGATCTTGTCTCCTGATCCACTCTGCCTGTGTTTCTTTTTATTGGTGAGTTGAGGCCATCGACACCAATGGGTATGGCCAACATGCACTGGCTTGTCTCTGCCATGCCATTTCCTGCCAGCAGCTGCCTGCTTCTCCCCTCTCTCTCCATTCAGTTGTCTGCCCCACTCAGCCCCACTCAGTGATCCCTCTCTGCCACTGTTTCTGGCACCGTGGTCTTTTATTTTTTTAATCTCTCTCAAGAATGTCAGTGTTCTTTGTAAGGTTGGTTTGGTGGTCATAAATTCCTTCTGTTGTTCTTTGTCATGGGAATATCTTGTTTGTCCTTTAACTTTGAAAGACAGTGTTGCAGAGTGCATCAATCTGGGGAAGAAGCTGTTTTCTTTCAGCACTTGAAAAACTTTACTCCAAGCTCTTCTTGGCTTCATGGTTTGTGTTGATGAATTTTCCTTTATAGGTGATTGTTTCTTTTGTCTAATAGCTTTTAATATTCTGTTCTAGTGTTGAATTTCTGGAATCTTGATTATTATATGTCTGGGTACAGATTTATTTTGGTTATGGATAGCTGGAGTTCTATATGCCTCTTATCTGTATATCACATCCTTTTCCCATATTTGGAACGTTTTCTGCTATTACTTCTGTAAATAGAATTTTAATGTTATTTGTGTTGACTCCTGCTTTTTCACTGACATCTATTATTCTTAAATTATTTTGCTTTGCATCATCTCGCAGTCGCTGAATTGTTATTTCCTGGCTCCTTTTATTCTTAAGGGATCTTTCCTTCCATGATTGCAAGCTGCACACCTGTCTTCAAGGTCTGACAGTCCATCTTCAGTTTCTTTCAAGTGGTTTTGCCAGCTTTCAATGGGGTTTTTAATTTCCTGGACATCTGTTTGAATCTGTTTCATGTATTCTAAATCTTTTTATATTGTTTATTCAAGGTTTTCCTCATTTTTTTTTAATCTATGCCTTTTTTAGAGATGCTTAGCAATTCTTTTTTTTTTTTTTTTGTCTTTGAGGCAGGGTCTCGCTATGCAGTTCAGGCTGGCCTTGAGCTCACTTTGTAGCCCAGGCTGGTCACAAACTTGCAACAGTCCTCCTGCCTCAGCCTCCTGAGTGCTGAGATTACAGGGGTGAGCCACCACGCCCGGCTCTAGCAATTCTTTTATTACGTTTCTCATTTTTCCTACCTGAGATAGTATTTCTGTTCTAATTTCTTTTATGGCTGCACGAAGCTGTCTCTTTATTTCTATTACCATCACTTTAGAGACTTCAGGTGTGTCTCTCTTTCATGTTTTCATCTCCTGGACTTGCTGTGCTTGGGTAGGGGTTCAGGGTCTGCCTCTTGCTTCTCCCTGTCTCGACATTTTCTTGGGTTCTTCCAAACAAGTGTGTAGTTGGGTTCCAGACACTTCCCACATTGGCTACAATTTCTCAGAGCATGACTGTTTGGTTCTCCAAGCCAGGGCTGGCTATGGGTATCCAGTGGTGGTCACTAAGTGTGCTTGTGCAGGGTGGGCTGCTGTTTTTCCCAGCGTATGCTGGCCACCTGTTGGCAGTGTCTCCCAATGGCTGCTGGAGTGCACACATGGGCAGCCTCCCAGCCGAGCTGGCTACCTACGGGTAGTGTCTTCTGATGGCCACTGGAGTCGAGACCACACTTCTGTTCAGCATCCTCACTCCTGCCCTGTGGTACTAAGTGGTCCAGGTTCCAGTAGATATGCTCTTTTTAGGAGCTTGCTTTGTGATACATGTTATTCACCTCTCGGGCTTATTTTAATTTTAAAGTAACTTTAACCTAATTCAGTAACAGCATAGGGCAGAATGGCTAACTTGTGGCACACATGCTACCTTGGACTGTTTGTATCATTGAAAAGCTCTGAAAGGTTTGCCATCACTGACCTTGGGACAAGGAATTCTGCATGTTTATATAGTATTCAAAATAATCTAGTACAATTTGTTTGTTAAAAGTTTTAATCCAGGGGCTGGGGATTTAGCTCAGCGGCATAAGCGCCTGCCTTGCAAGCAGGCAGTCGTGAGTTCGATCTCTGGTACCGATAAAAACAAAAAAGACAAAAAAAAAAAAAAAAAAAAGTTTTAATCCAAAAAGTGTATGGATTGGCATTTTTGAATGTCTAACCTCCAAAATGATTCTGATCCTGAAGCACTAAAAGGTTTCACAGTGTCTAATGACTTAGTAAAAACATACCATAAGTTTTCTTCCTGTATATTTAGAGAAAGTTTCTAATTAATGAAATATTCTGCCTGTTGAGCAGTTTTTATAGGATATCCCAATCTGGAAACTAAAGTAATATTTGACCCATCAAATTGTCATCACTGCCATTATGTATTGTATATTATCATTACCTCAGTGTGGACCACACACCCAGTGTCTGCAAGAGTTCTATTCACTTGGTTGATGATTGTCACTGAAGCTGGTCTGCTTCCTTCTGTTCCCAGATACGGTGTTGGTAATCATGCCCTGAAGGAGTAGGGCCTGAGCGCTCTCTGTTTGGTTTGCAGGTGTGATTATTGCAACAAAGGCTTCAAGAAGTCCAGCCACTTGAAACAGCATGTGCGATCACACACCGGGGAAAAGCCCTACAAGTGCAAGCTGTGTGGGCGTGGATTCGTCTCCTCCGGTGTCCTCAAGTCCCATGAGAAAACACACACAGGTCATTATCTGCCTCCCACGTGGAGATTATGTCTGTTTTGTTTTTACTTATTTCTTTAATTTTATTCATTTATTTACTTGTTTATTTGGTCTTATTTGAGACAGAGTTTGAATGTGCAGTTCAGGCTGGCCTTGAACTTACTTTGTAGCCCACGCTGGCCTCTAACTTGCAGCAGTCCTCCCCTTTCAGCTCCTCAGTACTAGGATTACAGGTGTAAGCCACCACACCCAGCTGTTTTGTTTATAATATAATGGCTTGAGGAGATACAATCGGTATATCATGCAGTTTGTCCACTTCGGTAGTTTTTAGCGTGTTTAAGAATTGTGCAGCCACTACCACTATGTCATATTAGAACATTTTACTGCCAATGAGAGAAACTTGACCCACTAGCAGTCACTCTCCCTTTCTTTTCAATGTCCCCACTGCTAGACAGCCCTTGATCTATCTCTGTCTTTATACATTTGTCTGTTTTAGACAAGTCAGACAAATGGATGCGTACACTATGTCAGTGGTGGTGAACCTGTAGCAGGCATGCTTCAGTGAGCTGTCTGTGTCACTGAGAGCTCTAGAAGGTTGCCGTCATTCCACTATGTAGTCTTTTGTGATTGGCTTCTTTTACTTAATAAAGTTTACCCACAGTGTACTGCATCAGTACTGCATTCCTTTTTATGGTCAATAATATTCTGTTGTGTGGATATGCTACATTTTATTTACCTATTTGTCAGTTGGAAATTTGAGTTATTTCCATATTTTTACTATTATGAATGATCCTGCTGTGATTCTTTGTATGTAACTTTCTATATGGTCATGTTTTTGTTTCTCTACTGAGGAATGAAATTGCTAGGTCAAATGAGAACTGTTTTTAAACTTCTGAGTTTGTCAAAGTGTTTTCTAAAATGGTTGCAAAAAAACACTCCAGATATACTAAACCACATCTTTGACAAAGGAGCCAGACACCTTCTCTGGAAGAAATGTAACCTGGTTAATATAACGGTGCTAGAAAAACTGATTTGCACATGCCAGAGTTTAAAACTGGACCTGTGTCTTTCACCATGTACCAAAAAAAGTTCAGAATAGATCAGAGATCTAAATATCAAACAGAAACATTAAATCTGCTGGAAGAGGGAATGAGTAAAACTCTTGAAGACATTGGTGTATGCAAAGGCTTTATGACCAAAACCCTGCTCGCACAGTAAGCATCACAAAGAATCACCATCTAGATCTCATCTTATTAAAAAGCTTTTGCCCAGCAAGTAAAACCACAAAAAGAGTGAAGAGACAGCCCACAAGGTGGAAAAAAATGTTTGGCAACTGTTCCTCAGACAGAGGATTACTATCAAGGGCATATAAGGAACTCAAGACAGTCAGACCTCCAAAATTTAAAGATTAAATTCAAAAATGGGCATCTGAGATGAGAATACATACTTCTCAGATGAAGAAGTACAGGCAATAAATGAATATGTGGAAAAATACTCAATTTCACTGGCCATCTGAGAGATGCAAATTAAAACAACACAGATTTCATCTTATCCTGGAAAGAATGGCTCTTATTAAGAAGTCAGCCAATAACAAATGCAGGAGGCCCTGCTCAGTTAGTAGGAGTGCAGACTGGTGCAACCACTGTAGAAATCATTGTGGACAGCTAAGTTTGGAAGACCCATTTGATCCAGCTGTTGCCAGTCTGTATATTTTCCCAGAAGAATTAAAAACATCATACCGTAGTAATATATATCCATCTGTGAGTTTATAGGCACCACAATTTGTAAAAGTTAGGTCTTGGAAACAACCGAAATGCCCATCAATTGAGAAATAGATAAAAAAGATGTGGTCTTCTTACTCAGCCATACAGAAGAGAGACTTTTATAAGTAAATGAATGCAACTCAAGAACATACTCATAAGTGAAATAAATCAGACTCGTGTAAACATCATGTTGTCTCTCTGGTGTGAGAAGGTGAAAGAGTAAGTAAGATCCAAAATATTCAGTAGATATTGTGAAATGGGGAGAAATTGTTCAAAAAGGAAGAGAAAGTGGAATGGGGGAAAAGAGAAAAGAAGGAAGGGAAAACAAAACAAAACAAAAATATACACACAATAGTTAAGGTAGTTATACTGGTAATTTCTCTTAATTCATTGAAAGGAAGGTTTGTGCTAATGTTGTTTGAACAATTAGATGCCCATTATCTTGTACTTTGAGTAACTAATTTAAAGATAACATTACACAGTGTATTAATCATTGTTACCTTCCTATTACCTTACTGTGAAATTTTTATTTTTTTCTCTTTAAAATAAAATGTAAAAAAATAATAAAGTGGCCGCACCATTTTACAAGCCCACAAACAATGTAAGAGTGTTGTTATTTCTCCACATCCCTGCCAGTGCTTGTTACTGTCTTTTTTTCTTATGACCAGCTTCATAACGCATTGTGGTTTTTACATAACTCCAGTGACTCATAATGCTGAGCGTCTTTTCATCTATTTACTAAGAAATATCTATTCTGATTCTGTACTCATTTTAATGAGATTATTTTCTTATTATTCTCGAGTTGCAAGTTTTTTTTTTAGTATATTCTGGCTATTAGACCTTTATTAGATACATAGTTTGCAGTCATATATTTTCAGTGTATTGTCTGTCTGTTTAATTTAGTATACTTATTAAACAAAAACATGTTTAATATTAACATATATTCTATGTAAGGCTTTATTTGAATATGAAGACATGCATTTTGAAATATACGCCAAGCCAGACATGGTGGCACACGCCTGTTATCCCATCTCCTCAGTGCCTGAGACAAGGGGGTTAGAGATTTGACACTATCTGGGGCAATTTAACAAGGCCTTGTCTCAGAATAAAATGAAAAGGGCTGGCTTTGTAGCTTAATATAGTAGAGTACTTGCCTAAGACGCATGAGGCCCTGGTTTAGTCCCTAGTGTTATATACACAAAAAAGAAAAAAAAAAAAAAAACAGAAATTTATAGGAAAGCCAAAGAAAGAAAAATATGTACATGAAAGAAGGAAAGATGTGTTCATAGTTTGGCAGCTGGAGAGTGGTTTCTTTTCTTCAATAACAGACATTTGGACTGTTTATATTTTTGGCTATTATGAATGCTGCTGCTATGAATGCTCTCTTGAGTCTTTGTGTACATGTACACTTTAATTTCTTTCATTTGTATACCAAGATGTGGAATTTCTGTGTTGTATGGTAAATTCGCTTAACATCTTAAACATTTTCAAATTATTTTCCAAAATGACTGTAACATTTTATATTCCCATAAGCAATGAACACAGGTTATTTTTCTGCATTCTTGCCAACCTATTTATTTAAAGAGAATAAAACCTAACAAAATAAAATTGAATAAACTCAATCAAAAGAAAACAGTGAAAGTGGTACAGAACTTCAAAACAGGGAATCAGCAATGGCTACCATAATAGATCTTGTTATCTTCAAAGTAACTGTCCATATCATCAGACATAGTAAAATCAAACAAAACAGAACAGAAAACCAATAAACAAACATTGCATGAAACAAAACAATCAATTGGAACAAAGCAAAACAAAACAATATTGGATTTCAAAAGCAAGACAGAAGGAAATCCCTCATATTTGCTATATTGCATACTGTTACCCTCATAATAGATATTCAGACTATGAGCCTTAGGCTGCAAAGTCATCCAAACAATACAAGCATTCAGTTGTTTTTGTACCTCAGTTGCTGTCAACTCAGCCTGTCCTCCAAACTAACTAGTTGCTTCGAGGGGGAGGTGGGGTGTGTGTGTGTGTGTGGTCTTGATTCTCAGCTTGTTTGCTGGTTAACTCACAGGAAGGGTGAATTGGCTTCTTGTACTCCTCCCAGGCCCAGCATGGCTTCTGCTGACTCATGGGAAGGGCGAACTGGCTTATCTCTTCCTGCGCCCTACATTGATATAGGGGAAATTTTCCCAACCTACTAGCTGTCTGATACGAGTTCATATTCTCTAAAATCAAAGAATGAATTTTAGGAAGACAGAGGTTAAGAGCAGAATGTATTTATTAAGAGAAAGGAAGCTTCTGTCTGAGAGAGACACAGAAGGGCTCCTGTATGGGTTGCCCTGAGGAGTGGTTTTTATGAAGTCTTGGGAAGGCTGGCTGTGAGAAGATTCATGGTGACTAAAGGCACTGCTGTGGGGGCCCAGAGAAGCTAAAGAAGGAAGACAGGGAAAGGATAAAAATCTCTGTAGCTAGGCATTTCTTGAGAGGTACTGGTGCAGAGGAGCAGAGGCATCAATGCTGGACTCTATATGAATAAAGTCATAGAGCGATTTTATAGACTGTTTCCAGGACTGACCTGAGTCACGTGAAAAAACATTTCTGAGGTTGAATCCACAAATGTGTTACCAGTTTAGATGTAAGTGACTGAAGACAGAGAAGATGTGGTTTGAGAAACATTTCAGAAGTTACCTATTTCAGTAAAAACCAGTAAGACAGGCCCTGTTTCTATGTCTGTTTTTAAATTTTATTTTAAAGAGAATAAAACCAAACAAAATGAAACAGAAGAAAGCCAATCAAAACAAAACAGTAAAAGTGATGCAGGATTTCAAAACAGGATAAGAGGAAATCAACAATGGCTACCATAGTGCCTCCTGTTATCTTCAAAATTGCTGTTCATGCCATCAGACCTAATAAAATCAAACAAAGCAGAACAGAATAAAACCAACCAAAACAGAATATTGACTAAAAAAATAAAATGGAACAAAACAAAACAGAATAATATAAAATACTGGATTTTAAAAAGGAGACAGAAGGAAATCCCCCATATTTACTATATTATGTACTGTTACCCTCTCAATAGATGCTCAGACTATCAGCTCTAGGTCTGCAAAGTCAACGAAACAATACAAGCATTAAGTGGTTTTTATACCTCAGTTGCTAACAGCTCTGTTTCTCCAAAGCAGCTGGTTGCCTGGGTGGGTGAGGGTGCCGTGTTCTTGTCTCCCAGCCCACATGCCACCTGGCTCACAGGAAGGGCAATTTGGCTTTTTACTTCTCCTCCTGGAACCTGCGTGGCTTCTGCCAGCTCAAGGGAGTGGCAAATTGGCTTCTTCCCTCTCTTTCAAACAGTAATGATTCGTAGAGATCAAAACTCACAGCACAGTAAGTTTGTGATTTATTGAATGTATCTTTGCTTTGATGTGCTTTACAATTTTTAAACATTACTTTCTTACTGTCTTCCCCTCCAACGTTCTCACAGGAGTGAAGGCTTTCAGCTGCAGTGTCTGCAATGCTTCATTCACAACCAACGGCAGCCTTACCAGGCACATGGCGACACACATGAGCATGAAGCCTTACAAATGTCCATTCTGTGAAGAGGGCTTCCGCACCTCGGTTCACTGCAAAAAGCACATGAAGAGACACCAGGTGGTCCCCTCTGCTGCATCAGCAACTGAGGAAGCAGAGGGAGGAGGTAGTTTTCCTTTGCTCATTCAAAGACGGTTAGCCAAATGCAAATAAAGTAATTAATGAATGTACAAAGCACCTTGAGTATCTGAACTTGGCTGTGTACACCTTAAATTCAGAGTACCCTGAGTTTTAAAAAATGAATTTACTTATTGAATATGAAAACTTCATGTTTTTTGAAAAAATTCAGACGCACAAAGGTGAAAATATCTTTCTGGTTACCCATTGGGACAGATAAGAATTAGCACCCACTTTGACGTTGTAGCCGCCTAACCACACTCGCCCATACATGGAGGTATACTCTAACTTTCTACAAATACGATACCATGCTACACAAGCTGTTACAATCTACGTAATCCCTCTCTCATGACATTTGTGATGTGCATATTTGATCAAGGAGGCGCCTTCACTAGTTCAGGTGCACACTGTAATTCTGTCATGTTTTACTATATAACCTATTATAGATAGATGTACAGCTAATATCCGTTACCTTCATAATGTGTGGAGGTCGTTTGACTAAGGGTTCTCCAAGGTCAGATCTGCTGAGGATTCTTGGTATTTCCTCCCCAGTTGCTTATTCCTCCATCTGCTTGCAGGCCTTTGACCTTGAGGTCATCATAATGAGACCAACAGGGTCTCTAACGTGTTATACTGAAATGAGAGCTGTGAAGCATTGTATTTTGAGAAATTTGCCTAACCAGCCTTAAGAACTTCTTTTCATGTCTCTAACTTCTATATTTCAGAACAGATGTTTAGTTAACCTTATTAGCAAATGTTCTGACTATTGGTTTCTGATGTTTTGTACCTACAATAGTTCATATTTTTCAAACTGATAGAGCTTAGTAGAAATCTTATTTCTAGCTGTTAACTGTCCTGAGATGTAGTAAAGTATAAAAAGTACATAGATCTTCCTTCAAATGAATTAAAGAATGCAGGCTATCCAGGTACTATTTTTTGGGCTCCTATAGTCTGGAGAGTGTTAACTAATTGGCCGTTATGGGTATAATCTCTAAATCTAATTACATTTTCGGTTTCAGCAATTAATAATGTTTGTAATAGTATTAGCTGTATGCTGTTAGGGTTGACTTGTGGGATTCTGAGAAGGTCTCATCATAGATACTTGATATACTCTACCTTATTTTCCTCTTTTGGATCTATCTCTCCTGGCCATGGGAGTGTGACCTGTTACTCGGTTTCACTCACACCACACCAGGATTATTGTGAGAGTTGCATTTCCTGTGTTAGCTGATTTGGCCTCCTCTGTGCATCGTGTTCTGTTCTCCTTTTCCTTTTCAGTTTCCTTGGTTCTTTCCATGGCATGTACTGTGCTGGTGTGTTCTTGGCTACTTAAAAATTGTCAGTGCAGTTATCTCTGTATTGCATCTTCAGTGTTGGTGGGGCTGCTGTCTATAGCCGGCCCCAAGTTTTTCCAGATGTGAAATTTTAGTTCACCATGTTTCCTTTCTCTTCAATTTCTGCCAAATGAATATTGAATTTTATGATTCCATCTCTGTGACATTGTCTCCATTCTTACCTTTCCTCTCTTTTCTTGCTCGTCTTTTTTCCCCATCATGTAAGGAAGATGATCCAGTTGGTTTTTACCTCATTTGGGGTTAGCACTCTCTACTTTGTGGTTGCAAATTCCTCTTGAGTCTGAGTGTTTCTATTCTCTTTGTGTTTTCAAACTTCCCAGAGCCACCTGCACAACCTGGCAGCAGCCCTCACCTCACAAGATCGCTGGGCTTCTTGAAACTTTTGGGGCAGCAGGTACCGCAGTTGGCATGCTTAGCTCAGATTCCAGCTCCGCCTGCTTGTCCATCTCGCTGATGCGGTCCTTTGCTGCAGCAGATTGCACCAGAACCTTCTCAGACACCGTGGCACTCTCTTGGGGCCGAATCTTGGCCAGCTGGGCTGTCTCCACACTTTCAGCCACACACTTTCCCTCTTCTGTTACATTTTAATAGCAGCTTTTTCTTTTTAATCAACTGGAATATATCCTTACATTTCACTGGGATAACACCTAAACATACACACATTTCTAAGCTGTTATTTTCCTCTTTGCAGTAAGTCTTTTTAGTTGGAGGCTCTTGCCAATTTATCGTTTTGGTCTCCTTTTGGGGCTTCTGATTTTCTAGTGATAAAGTCTGTGTGTGTGAATACTGTGGGTTGCGTGCATATTGGAAGTTTCCTCGCTTCTTCTAGCTTCGTAGCAGGTATAGAAGAAGATCATCAGTTCCAGCACTTCCAGTATTGCATGTTGTACTCAAGGGCTCATCCTTCATTTGACCTTTCCTTTATGATCCTGCCTAGTCTCTCAGTAGAACTGTGGTGGAAAAAGCCACTCTTTCCCGTCTTCTGTGTAGCTAGTTGAGTTACTAACTTTAATCTTACATGCTTAATTTTATTTCTAGTTAGGTTGAAAATTGAGCTTTTACAAAGGTTTTGATCCCTCTACCTGTGCTTTGAGTAGATGTGTGTGTGGAGGAAGAGGAAGAAAGCTCTGACAGAAGCACATCAAGGAAGTCCCGTCCTGAGGTGATCACCTTCACAGAGGAGGAGACAGCCCAGCTGGCCAAGATTCGGCCCCAAGAGAGTGCCACGGTGTCTGAGAAGGTCTTGGTGCAATCTGCTGCAGAAAAGGACCGCATCAGCGAGATGAAGGACAAGCAGGCGGAGCTGGAATCTGAGCCTAAGCATGCCAACTGCTGTACCTACTGCCCCAAAAGTTTCAAGAAGCCCAGCGATCTTGTGAGGTGAGGGCTGCTGCCAGGTTGTGCAGGTGGCTCTGGGAAGTTTGAAAACGCACATTTGCCATCTTTTTGACACTCTTAGCACAGTAAGGGAGCACTTTCTGGAGGAGCAAGTTTTTAAGCCTGAGTTACCTCTACAGTGACCGCCTCAGAACAGAAACTATTGGTTGCTTGAGCATATTTCTGGGTAATTGTGGTAGTAATAAAAAGGAGAACTGATCAGCTTATTGAGGAACATAGTATGCTAGGCTTTGTGGACATTCAGAAGAGCAGCAGATACCCTCTTTAAGGGACTGTTGGCCTCTGTGAGGAGTATACAAGATAGAGACCAGAGAGAATATGTCATAAAGCAGACAGCAGTGACTGATATGAATAAGATAGAGGGTGGCAGAGGGGTGAGGAATCCAGAATCCAGGACACAGGAGAAAGCATAGAAGGAGCTCCAGAACTGTTCAGACAAGGAGAGAGAGCCTTGACTTAGTGTTTTCCGTCACATGAGTATTCCAGAGTTCTGTTGCTAAACCTACCCATAAGCTTTGAGAGCTCATGTTAGAAGTACAAGGACACTGCAGAGCTGATGTCATAGCACTTATCACTGCTGATACATTCCTTAAAGGGCCTGGGAGGTCATGCATCTCTGTGTCCCTCAGAGACCTTCTGATGCCTGTTTTAGACTAGCAAACAGGAAGGAAATCCTATCTTGTCCTTGCAGTGTGCTCTTTTTGGATTCTAAGTGTGGTTGCTTAACTTTGTATATATCTTTTGGGAGTTTATATTTTTTCTGTAAACTAGCTCTGCATTGTTGTCTACTCTGATACAATCTTTTTGCTAATTTTTAAAAGTTTGAATTTTAAGCAAATTAGCTCTGTTTACATTTATCTTGCAAATCCTTTGTTGATTTATGATATTCTGTGTCTAGAGAGAAGCTTATAATTTTTATTTCATAAATTTTTAAATATATAAACAATTTTTATTTATATGATTGTAAATTTCAAATTATGAAGATATTTATAACTATATATAATTAAAAAGAAAGTCACTTAATTAACAAACACTTTTTGGATAGGCATGTTCGAATTCATACTGGAGAAAAGCCATATAAATGTGAGGAATGTGGAAAGAGTTTTACTGTGAAATCTACCCTCGATTGCCATGTGAAGACTCACACAGGTAAGGATAAAAGTTTTGCAGGGTTGGTGGATGTCTTACAGTACTAAAATTTTTTTTCTAAAATGTTTGCTTATTTTAAGCATATGAGTACTTTCAAAATTATAAAGAGCTTAAAAATCAGGAACTATGAAGATAGTGGATATAAGGAGATTAGAGCTCAAAAGTTGAGTTATAAATTGCCTTGTATTCTTACTCTGGTTTAAATATTTGTGTGTAAAATATTCTTTTTTTTTAACACCAAGTGTGTTTATGAGAAAAGAAGAAAGTTATGAAATATCCTCATGTCTTTCCTCGAGAAACTGAAAATCAAAACAGAATAAAACCAAAACAACTAGAAAAACATAATAAAGATCAGAAAACACAATCCCTTATCAAACTGCCAACATTATTTTTCATTTTGATTCTTACATTTCTATAAAAATAGAAAAGATTCAGAATAGTGTAAACAGCTCCAAAATTAGAACACCAACCCTCCCCAAACCCATGATTTGTCACAAAGTACACCAATCATGACAATCGGCATTGATATCAAGGTAGACAAACCACCAAAGTACCAATATAAATGTCAAAATAGACACCCACATAACAGACAATTGATTTCTGGCAAAAAAGCAAAAGCAAGTAAGTGGAGAAAAGATTGTACTCTCAATAAATATACTGGAACAACTGGTTATCCACATGCAAAAAAACCCAAACTTTATAACACATCAAAAATTTCTTAAGACATACAAAAGTCAACTGAAAATGGCTCACATTGAGTTAATAAAAGTAAAGGTAGGTATGGCCCCAGTTATTGCTTGACTGAAGTCATTCTCTCTGAGACAGAATGCGTATTTTTCTTTATCATACTAATGAAACAATACAATATTTATACATTCATGACATACTTATTTCACTAATAAGTATGTTCTCAAGGTGCATCCATTGATCTCTAAAAATACCCAGTTTATCATTCTTTATGGCTGAATAATATTACATTATATAGAAATACCACATCTTTTTTAGCCATTTCTTAGTCAGTGGGCATTTAGGTTGTTTCCAAGATGTGGCTGTGCTGCTCTAATCATGGGTGCACATATATCACTGTGGTATAATGTTTTTAATTCATTTGGTAAGATACCCAGAAGGAGAATAGCTGGGTCAAATGAGACCTCCAACCTTAGTATTTTTGAAGGATCTCCACACTGATTTCCATAGTGGTTGCACCAGTCTACACTCCCAAAAATAATAGAGAAGGGTTCCTTTTTCCCCACGCCCCTCCAGCATTTGTTATTGCTTGATTTCTTAATACTAGCCATTCTTTCTGAGGTGAGGTGAAAGCTTAGTGTTGTTTTAATTTGCATCTCTCGAATGACCAGTGCTGTGGAACATTTTTTCAGTTATTTGCTCATTGTATTTCTTCATCTGAAAAGTGTGTGTTCATCTCAGATGCCCATTTTTGGATTGGGTCTTTAAATCTGGGAGGACTTTTTAAGTTCTTTGTATATTCTTAATAATAATCCTTTATTTGAAGTACAGCTGGCAAACATTTTCTCCCACATAGTGAGTTGTCTTTTCACTCTGTTGGTGTTTTCTCTTGCTGTGCAAAAGCTTTCAGTAGGATGAGATCCCATTTGCTGATTCTTTGCAGTAAGTCCTGTGCACTCTGGGTTTTATTCATAAAGTCTTTGCCTATACCAATGTCTTCAAGAGTTTTACCTACTGTATCTTTCAGGAGACTTAATGTTTCTGTTTTAATATTACAATCTTTAATCCATTCTCATTTTAACTTCATACATGGCAAAAGATACGAATCCAGTTTTAATCTTAGGCATGTGGAAAGCTAGTTTTTCCAACACCATTTATTAAAGAGACTATCTCTCTTCCAATGAGTGTGTTTGGCACCTTTGTCAAAGATAAGGTAGCTTAGTGTGTCTGCAATTGTTTCTGTATCTTTTAATCTATTCCATTGATCTTCAGGTGTGTTTTTTTGCCAGTGCCACACTGTTTTTATCACGGTAGTTTTATAGTATAATTTCAAATCAGGGATTGTGATGCCCTCTGTCTTATCTTTGTTGCCCAGAATCAACCTTTGTTGTTCTAGGTCGTTTCTGATTCCAAATGAATTTTAAGATTGTTTTCTCTAATTCTGTGAGACATGCTATTGAAATTTTGATTGGAATTGTATTGAATTTGTGTAACAGTTTTGGAAGTATGGCCATTTTCACTACATTGGTTCTTCCTACTCAAAAGCATGGGATATCTCTCCATTTTCTAATGTCCTCATCAATCTCCCTTTTCAGAGTAGTATAGTTTTCACTGTAGAGGTCTTTTACTTCTTTCATTAGATTGATTCTTAGGTATTTCAATTTTTAGGATACTATTGTAAAAGGTGTTGTTTCCTGGTTTCTTTCTTAGTGAGTTTGTTATTCTTATATAAGAGGGCTATTGATTTTTGAGTGTTGGCTTTATAACCAGCTACATTACTGAATTTGCTTATTAAATCTAGAAGTCTTTAGAATCTATTATTAAATCTAAAAGTCTTCTAAATAGAGGATCATGTCATCTGCAAATAATGATAATTTAACTTCTTCTTTTCCTATCTTTATTCCTTTTATTTCTTTCTTGTCTAATTGCTCTGGCTAAAGTTTCCAGGACTATGTTGAATCAGAGTGGAGGTAATGGACATCCTTGTCTTGTTCCTGATTTTAGCGTGAAAGCTTTCAGTTTTTGTCCATTCAATATGATGTTGTCTGTTGGTTTGCCGTAGATAGTGTTTATCAGATTGAGATAAAGATCATGTATTCCAATTTTTCTATAGGGTTTTTACCATAAATGAGTACTGGACTTTGTCAAAAGCTTTTTCTGCATCTATCGAGATAATCATATGATTTGTCCTTGGCTCTGTTAATGCAATGTATTACATTTATGGATTTACGTATGTTGAACCATCCCTGGATCCTTGGGATGAATCCCACTTGATCATCATATACAGTTTTCTTGATGATTTGCTGCAGTCTATTTGCTATTATTTTATTGAGGATTTTTGCATGAATGTTCATTAGAGAGATTTGCCTGTAATTCTCTCTTAGTTGGGTCCTTCTCTGGTTTTGGAATCAGAGTAATGCTTGCTTCCAAGAATGAATTTGGGAGTATTACTTCCCTTTCAATTTCATTAAAGAGTTCGAGAAGTATTGGTGTAAGGTCTTCACTAAATTTCTTGTAGAATTCAGCAGTAAATCTATCAGGGTCTGGCTTTTCTTTGGTGATAGGTTTTTAATTAAATCTTTAATTTCATTTATCGATATTGGGTTTTTTAAAGATATTTATATCTTCTTGATTTGTTTTTGGTAATTCATATGTATCTAGAAATCTGTCCATTTCTTCTGTATTTTCCATCCTATTGGAATACAAGTTTTCAAAATAAGTGTAGGTGATTTTCTGGATTTCTACAGGGTATATTGTAAATTTTCTCTTTTCATTCCTAATTGCATAGATTTGAGTCTTTTCTTTCCTTTTTTGATAAGATTGGCCAAGAGTTTGTCAATTTTATTTAATCTTTCAAAGAACCAATTCTTTGATTCATTGATTCTTTGTATTGTTTCTTTAGTCTCCAGTGTGTTAATTTCTACTCTGATCCTTATAATTTGCTCCCTTGTACAAGCTTTTGGTTTAGCCTGCGCTTCTTTTCCTAGAAGTTATAAGTTATTTTTATGTGTTTACTCTGTTTTCCTGATACGGGCATTTAGTGCCAGAAATTTCACTCTTACAACTGCTTTCATTGTGTCCCACAAGTTCTGGTATGTTGTATTGTCATTATCATTCAGCTGTAAAAATTTCTTCTTGTATTTCATCTGTGACCCATTGGTTGTTCAGTTGAGTGCTATTTAATTTCCATATATTGATGAACTTTTTGTGGTTCTATGTAATGGATTTCCATTTCATGCACTGTGGTCTGATAGTATGTATGGGGTAATTTCAGTTCCTTTGCATTAACTTAAGCATGTTCTATGATCCAGTATATAGTCTATTTTGGAGAATGTCCCATGTGCAGCTGAGAATAATATGTATTCTGATGTTGTGGGGTAGAACATTCTATAGACATCTACTAAGTCCATTTGCTCAAAAGTGTGATTTAGTTCTAATATTTCATTTTTGATTTGTTGTCTAGTCAATCAGTTTTGTGGCAGCAGGATATTGAGGTCTCCCAGTACAAGTGTATTAGGGCTTATTTGATTTTTCATGTTCATTAATAATTGTTTTATATGACTGGGTGCACTAATATTTGTTGCATATATATTTATGATTGTTACCTCTTCCTCTTGGAGTGTTCCCTTTACTAGGATATAGTGATTTTCTTTATCTCTCTTCATCAGTCTTGGCTTCAAATGCACCTTATCTGCAAATAGAAGAGCAATGCCTGCTTTTTTCTGGATTCCTGTTGCATGGAATATTGTTTTCCATCCTTTAACTTTCAGTCTATGAATTTATTTTTGGATTAAATGTATTTCTTGTATATAGCATACTGTTGGATCTTGCTTTGTGATCCATTCTGCCAGTCTGTGTCTTTTGACTTGTGATTTGAGGCCATTGACATTAATGGTTAAAATTGAGATGTATTGATTTATCCTTGTCATGTTATTTTCCTATTATTGGCTCCCCCGCCCCATTTGTGTTTCTTTTTTTCCGTTCTCTCTGATTGCCTTGCCTGGTGGATTCCTTCTGTTGGGGCTCATGGAGTTATAGTCCTTGTTATCTCTTTCAAGAATGTCCTTCAGGACATTTTGGAGTGCTGGGTTGATGATCATAAATTATCTCAGATGTTCTTTGTCATGGAAGTATCTTATTTCTTCTTCAATTTTGAAAGATAGTTTTGCAAGATACTTCAAAAGTTATTTTCCTTTAGAATTTGGACTACTTCATTTCAAATCAGCTCTCCTTGATTTGAGAATTTGTGCTGAGAAGTCAGCTATGATTCTGATGGACTTTCCTTTGTAAGTAATTTTTTTCTTATCCCTAACAGCTTTTAAAATTCTATTCTTCTGTCAATTTCTGGAATCTTGACTATGATATGCCTAGATGTAGATTTTTTTTTGATCATTGCTAATTGGAGTTCTATATGTCTCACTTATTTGTATGTCAAATCGTTTTTCTCTACCAGGAAAGTTTTCTTTCATGATATCTGTGAAGATGTTTATAATGTCACGAGTAGTATCTCCTGCTTTTCACTGAATCCAGTTAGTCTTAAATTATTCTTCTTGGTCTCATTAGCAGCTGTTGTACTGATTTCTCATGTTTCCTTGTTAGTTTTGAGAAATCTTTCTTTCCTGGTCACTAACTGCAAGCCTGTTCTCAATATCTGAGATCCTGTCCTTACATTACCCTAATCTGCTTCAGATACTTTCAGTGGAGTTTTTGTTCTTCTGGATATCTGTTTGAATCTGCTTTATGGATTCCATTTTTTTTCCTGTGTTGTGCTTCTATAATTTGTTTAAGTTTGTCTATTTTTTTTTTTTTTTTGTCTGTGTCTGCTCTAACATCACTAAGCATAGTATGTATTTTGGTAATCTCTGTAATTATTTCAGAGATTATTTCTGATTCCATTGTTTCCAGAACCTCATTCAGTTGCTTTATTACCACTTGAGAGAGCCGTGGTGTAGGGGGTTTTGGATTTTCCAGCCTCATTCCCCTTTGAGTTTGCCTTTGGTGAACTGGGTGTCTGAGGTTGTGTGTTGCTTAAGTGCCTTCTCATATCTTTTCCATGGAATGCAAAACAGTTATATATAATATATAAGACTGTAATATATTAATTGTGCCCTGAAGGATTATGATTCAAAATGGATTAAAGAGAAAACAGAAAAGTGGGAAAAGAGAAAGAGATTATATATAGGTTGGAGGACAAAGATGGATTCCACAAACTTGGGGAAATTGATGCAGAGGACTGCAGGAAAAGGGAGCTAGAAGCGATGAAAGGTAGAACAGAGGAAGACCACACCCACAGCAGGTTGGGGCCCACACTTGCACTCAAAAAAGAAAAAAGAGAGAAAGAGAAATAAAAAACAGACAATAAAACAAACAAGGAAAGAAGAAAAGAAAAACAACAAAACAAAACAAAGCAGTCTGTTCCAGCATTGTCTCTGGGTTCACGGTAGCCAGCCTGTGGAGACAGTGTCTCATGTCATGCCCCTGCATCCCCGCAGCCAGGAGCTGCTTTGTGATGAAGCAGTAGACCGCGTTAGCAGGCCTGCCCCAGACCAGACCAGACCACTGGGCTCCTGCAGGCCAAGCAGTTTCCACGGCTCTGTGCCCAGCCAGCAGCTGCTGGAAGAAGCCGGCAGCGGCCTGCTTTCAGCTCCAGAATGGCTCTCTCCCGTGAGAGGACTGAGCCCCCTGCACGCACCGCTGGCCGGCACGGTCCTCCACATCCGCCATCCCTCCATCGGGGAGTCTGTCCACAGAGGCCTCTGGAGTCTCCACAGCCCCTGTGACTGTGACTGCACGTCCCAGGTTCTAGCTGCTCCCCTCAGCAGCGAGTCTGGCTGTCAGCCACTGCCTTCTTCGACGAGGTTTTTCTTTTTGCTCTCTCTGTGGGCTTTGATTCCAACTTCAGATTCCTTGGTCGAAGACACCCATTTCCTTCCTTCTTGCCGTCCTCATGATGCTATATTCCATCTAGATGCTGTCTCTCAGAGAGGCTGTTCTCTCTGCTGCTCACCGCTCCACCGTCTTGCCAGTAGTCATGTAAAACACTCTGTGTTGGTCTCACTCAGGCTTAAGAAATTCAGTTCGTTGGACTTGATAAAAACTATAGAGACTTGGCAAGTCTGATGACAGCTACCAGTTTGTAATACTTTTGTTTTTTTCATGAGACAGGGTCTCACTGTGTAGTTCAGGCTGTCCTTGAACTCACTATGGAGCACACACTGACCTCAAACTTACAGCCTCCTGAGTGCTAGGATTACAGCTTTGTACCACCATGCCTGGCTGCGTTGTAATACTTTTTATGTGAGGGGGAAAAAATCTGAGGAAGGAAAGAATTGTTTGGTTTCCATGGTCGTTTTTTAATCTTCATCTGATGCAAGAACCTGACAGTCCACTGCCTTTGCTTCTTGAATTCCACACAATGCATCCTTGGTAGAAGGCAGCTTTCCCTCTCCTGCTGAGTGTGGATTCGGTCTGCCATGTGGAAGCATGGTGACATCAGGCCATTCACTTCTCTGAGTCACAGGGTCCTTGTGTATGAATTGGGCTAATGATAGTACTTCCCTAGTAAGGAATTTGCATGTATGAAGACATGTGAGTAGTTTAGAAAAGCATTTGGCATGTAATAAGCTCAGGGTGTTAGTCATTGTCACTATGATTCTTGAGTTGTGACCATCAAATTTACTTATATTCTTTATTTTTTATTTTGAACAAAATTAGACAAATGAGTACAAGTGACATTTCATCCATTTATGTTAAGTCTTGGAATTGTTTTTTTCTTCAATCAGATTTTATTGTTACATTTAGATATACATAAAGATCACATTTATCATAGAGAATTTGTACCTCAACGTGATATAACTTGATTATTTTCCCCATTCCCCTCCCCTCCCCTCACCCCCTTTCCCTCCCCATTTATAATAGCTTTGTTTCCATTTTTTCCTTTTTCTCACTTTTTAGAAAACTTTTCCTCCTCCTTTGTTCCCCTCCCGCTTTGAACATTTTATTCATATTTTCATAGTATCTGATATTTCGATCCTTATTTATACTTTCAGTTTCTCACACTAGAGAATTGAGATTATTTTTGATGGACTGATATTTGGAACAAAAATGTGTATATGCAAATCATTTATTCAGCCTCTTAGACATGTAGGTTTCCTGTCTGATGAGGTTTTTTCCTATATATATCTCTTGTGTCACACTCAACTTACTGAGGCCAAGAAGGTGTCATCTGTGTATACCTCAGCACGCCAGCTGAATGGGTTTTGTATGTGCAGCGGTGCCTGGCAGTGTTCACCGTGATGGGCACCTTTGTTTAGTGTACTGCATTTGGCTTGGAAGTCCAATGCAGTTTGTATAGACAGGGAATAGAGAGAAGTCCAAGTGGAAAGCAAAACTGCTTTCCATACCCTCTGTCTGTTTGTGTGGAGACCTGTGAAGACGGGCAGCTTTGGATCTGTTCTTCTCAGCCTCTTGCCTGGGCCGTTGGTGACATAAGAGCCCTGGATTTCTGGGTGGTGGAGGGAGAAAGGAAGAAGTTCTTTTTAACCTGAGCGCTTCTGGAGCACGACTGGTGCTGATGACACATGGGTGGCTTCTGCTTCACAGTAATGATGTGAAGAACCAGAGAGGATGAAGTGCGTGTGTGACATTAGCCACGTGGCTCTGTGCCCCAGAATGTACTTCCTGTATACATTTTCTGGCTGTGGAGCTTCCTGTACTAGCATTCTGGATGTTCCCATTTGTCAGAATATAAAATAAAGAGATACTGAAACGTCAGTGCAGTCCCCTTTATAAAATTAAAGAAAAGTGAGAGTAATACAGCCTGGGCTAAGTCCAGCTACTTACTAATTTCTAGTAAAGATAAATACTCCCATCATTGCTCAACATATAATGCAGGAGTTTCAGGACACTAACCTTGGAGGGTTGTGGAAGTACCAGATGTAAATTGTAAACAGTCTGCTGATAAAGTGCTGCCACTGCCTGTGACAGGTTATGGGTGACAAGGTTTCTTGGAAACACTCAGCTACATATTTAGCACAGGTCACCCACCCGAGTGGCCGAGGGCATCCGGAAGTGTAGACGGTCTCAGCCCCGCTGATTCTTGGCCGGACTTTCCACAGGTCAGAAGCTGTTCAGCTGTCATGTCTGCAGCAATGCTTTTTCTACAAAAGGAAGCCTGAAGGTGCACATGCGCCTGCACACCGGAGCGAAGCCTTTCAAGTGCCCGCACTGCGAGCTGCGCTTCCGCACATCCGGGCGGAGGAAAACTCACATGCAGTTTCATTACAAACCAGACCTGAAGAAAGCCAGGAAACCTGTGACTCGAAGCTCCTCGGAAGGACTGCAGTCTGTGAACCTTCTCAATTCCGCCTCCAGTGACCCTAATGTGTTTATCATGAACAATTCTGTCCTAACAGGACAATTTGATCAAAATTTGCAAGGGCTGGTGGGCCAGGCTATTCTCCCTGCCTCAGTGTCAGGTAGGTGCTGGGTTGGGCATGGCCCAGTCACTACACTGATTTACATCCTTCTCCTCTGTTCCACATTCAGTGGAAGGTTTTATGCGGTTTTGTTTTATACAGTTACCTTTCTACTCTTTTTTTGGTCTGTTACATTTGCTTTTGAAGCCCATAGTACTTTGGTTAGTTGCTTTCTTTTTTTGGCAGTACTAGGGAATGGATCTAAGGCCTTTGCTCTTATATCCCAAGGGTTGTTTTTTTTTTAAATTTTTTGGAGATAGAATCTTGAAACAAGGCTGGGTTTGAGCTTGTGATCATCCTGTCTCAGCTTCCCAGTGTAGTAATATAGGCATTGCCACTACTAGATTTTGTTTTTACTAGGTTTATTTCTTTCTCAGCATTCTTAAAATATAGTAATGAGATATATAATTTACAAATATTTATTAACACAGTTTTTAAAGTAGTAGTTATCAGTGGGTTATGGTGATACATGCCTGTAGTCTTGGCACTTGGAAGGCTGAAGCAGGAGGATCCTTGTGAGTTTGAGACCAGTGTGAGCTATAAAGTAAGCTGAAGGCTAGCCTAAACTGCATAGTGAAACTGTCTCAAAAAGAAAAATAAAAGGGTAGTAGTTATCCACTTGTCATTGTGGCATATAGTATGTGAAGAGTATATGAACAGCTGGGTTTCTTTGGATACTTACAGTAAATGTGACAGTTCTTAATAGCCAGCAAATACCCTGTGCCGCCTCTTTCTATGTTTTTGATTTGTAGAACAATTAAAGCTGGGTTGTTCTTGTTTAGTGGTTGCTGCTATTTAAAACTTTGAGATTGGCTGGGCGCAGAGGCTCTTGCTTATAATCCTAGCACTTGGCATTCTGAGGCAGGAGGATCCTTGTAAGTTCAAGACTAGCCTGGGCTACGAAATGAGCTCAAGGCCAGCCTGAACTGCATAGTGTGACCCTGTCTCAAAAAGACAAAACAATAAAATAAAACTTGAGCTAACCAGTAGACTCACTTTTCTGATATGTTTAAAATAGGTAATATTATCTATTTACTAGGGATTTTTTTGTGATAATTAAATTACATAGCATATACATGCCATATAAATATTAACATATCTTAATTATATCATGTTAATATAATATATAAAACTTAGGTATTTGAAAGTCCCTGTGTAAAAAATGAATTCTTTTAGATTTAAAAAGCATTCATAATATTCTTTTCCTTTTCTCTTTCTGGCCAGCTGGTGGCGACTTGACAGTGTCTCTAACAGATGGGAGCCTGGCCGCCCTGGAAGGCATCCAGCTACAGCTGGCTGCAAATTTGGTTGGACCAAATGTTCAGATTTCTGGGATTGATGCATCCAGCATCAATAATATCACATTGCAGGTATGATAGCTGACATGGACTTCCGTGCTTTTAGATTGTCTCAATTCACGGAAGTATGGGATTTTCATGGCAGGTATCTGTGTTGGTTTTCAGATCGATCCAAGTATTTTACAGCAGACGCTCCAGCAAGGCAGCCTCCTTAGCCAGCCATTCCCAGGGGAGGCTGGGGGTGTGGCCCCACAGAACACTGGACAGACCTCCGACAGCACAGTCCCAGCCAGCGTCGTCATTCAGCCCATCTCAGGCCTGTCCTTGCAGCCCACGGTGACATCTGCTAACCTGACCATTGGCCCGCTGTCTGAACAGGATTCTGTGCTGACCACCAACAGCAGTGGTAAAGATTGTTCACTTTTGTTTATTTCACCAGCTGGAATTTCAGTCTCTTGCTTATACTTGCTTATACTCATACATTTAGTCTTAGGATACTAACGATGTCATTTTTTTCCCTTGTGGTGAAACCCACTAAATAAAATTAAATGTCCTAAAGATAAAATAAGCTTTCATTCATCAGTGGTGTTTGTGCAGTATATGTGTGTATAGATGAGCATACTTGTATACTTTACTTATTTATTAATTTTGGCCATGCCAGATATTAAAATCAGGGCTTTGCACATGCTAAGCAAGTCTTATTTTTGCAGAAGTAATTAGAACTGACTGATGTGTTATTTTGACTTACCTTTTTGAAATAACAATTTAACTGTGATACTTTAAAACAAGAAAAAAACTATTATTTTAGAGCTCAACTTTGTCTTGCTTTGTGTTGATGAGCAGGGACGCAGGATCTCACTCAAGTAATGACTTCACAAGGCCTCGTGTCCACCTCCACAGGCCCCCATGAGATCACCCTGACCATTAACAACTCGAGTCTCAGCCAGGTTCTAGCCCAAGCTGCTGGCCCTACTGCTGCGTCATCCTCGGGGTCTCCACAGGAGATTACTCTGACTATCTCTGGTTAGTAAGTTGACGTTGTAAACATGCTTTCACCCATCATTTAAGTCTGCCAGACTGTATTTCTTTGCCGCCTACACTCAGCTTTACATAAAACCAGTGCATAATAAGTATTTGTAATTTATGTGATAAATTCAAAATTAATGAAATCTAGCACCAGGTATTAAAAACTGTAGTTTGTCTTCTTGTTTCCCGTTTGAGTGATTATATAATTATACGTTCATTAATAAATGTTTAGAATGTCAATTAGCTTTGCCATGTATTTGCCATGTTTTTGTTTAGCAAAGATCAAGGAGACATAGCTTCGTGATTATTGCTGTGCTCTGTAAGCTGAAGGAAAGTCACTGGTGTGAGCTTTCTAAACAAGAACATTGCAGAGACCCATGGTGTTTGCCCCATTCTCATGACTTCAGAATTCCACTTAGATTATGCATAAAAAGTTAAAATGTGATAGAACATTGAAAAGTAGGTAAGTAGGCAGAAAATACACTGGGCAAGAAGACTCACTTTAAATTGGCAAGTCATGCATGTGTCCATCACTGGGCCCCTTCTCTTTGTGTGTGCCTCCTTCTGTCTCCTGTGTCGTTCATTCTCAGAAGCATGCTCTGGCTTGAGTTAGCTTTGGCAGATTTACCTATTGTGTTTTGTCCATATGATTTCAGCTCTGAGCTCTTCACATTAACTAAGAGTTATTTTTAAAAATTTAATAACTTTTATAGTCCTTACTATGTACCAGATACTATTCTAGTAACTTTTACAAATATTAACTTATTTGTATATATTACATATAATAATACATACCAGTAAATCTGAACTCTTTAAGCCTCATAGTCAACTTATGACGTTGTTTTTATATAGAAGAAAAATGTTTTACTGGAAATCAAAATAACTTTTGTGGAGATATGTGTGGAGAGCAGGTTTCCCCTGAACAAATGTAAATCAGAGTGGACAAAGTACAGTACCAGGCTGACCCAACCTTGACACTGACCAAGGGTGCTTCTTTTGTTTTAGTGAGATTTCTGCAAAATTAATGATGAAATTTTAAAAATGTTTATATAGAAGAAAAACAAAAGATTTGCTCTTTAGGAGGATGTCTTTGTTCCTTTTAACGTGTGAAAAATTTGAGGAACTATTTTTAGAAAAACTTTCCTTTCCAGTGATATGCCATGATTGTTAAATGCTACTGGATGGCAAGAATTGATACTGAATTCTATTTGATTCAGTAACCTTCTATCTTTCATTATATATGTGTCTGAATTTTAATGTTGGAAATACAGAAGGTTATTTTAGGAAAGGTGTTCTGTTGATCAAATTAACTTTCTTTGAGTACCCCTCCGTATAGCAGCCACTGTACTAGGTCCTATCAAAAACACATTTGTGAACTGGACTTTTGTTTCCCCTGCGTTTTCCTTTTGTTGGCCATTTTCTTATGTTATTGCTTATAGATATATTTAAAAGTGCTGGATCATATAACCGTAGGTTTAAAAAATTACTTTAAAGGATTTGTTCTAGAAAACTGCTGATCAGGTATCGAGGTAGAGTTTCTCTAAGCTTTGGACTCAGAATTTCTTGTTGTCTCCCTTCTTGGTGTTGCATAATGAGAGCTGGGTGCAGATACTCTTACGTCTACATTTCTGTAACCCACTCTGAAGAGGTTTGGGAAAACATGTGCTTGGTAGGCCCTTTCTACAAACACCTAGCTGTGCAATGTAAATTTTCAGCTAGTTTGTAGGAAGTTCCTTCCTGTATTTGTGCATAGAGTTGTAAATGCTTGAGAATGGCAGTATTGAGCACACAAGTAGTCCTTAAGGTTTGTGGCCTTCTAGCAGTTTACACATTATAATGCTTGGAGAAAAAAAATTAAACATGGCATAAAGGCCAGGGCAGTCCTTTGCCTCCTCAAATTAAATCTTGTACATACAAAGCAAAAGTCCTTTTATCTGATAGAGCCCAATTATTAGGAAAAAGTGATATAAAATAGGAGTGAGGAAATCAACAGCTGAGTACACTGAATACTGACTCAGAGGTTTTTGGGTATTGGCATGCTCTGCTGTTAAAGTCCTACATGCTTTTTATTTCGCCCATATTTGTGTCCATACACACTTACTTGTGTGTCTCAGGAGTGGCAGGAGGAACAGATAATGGTCAGCAATTGTAGTGCAGCATCTTCATCTTTTGATGCTGTTCTCTCTCAGGTATTAGGTTGTGTTGCTCACAATTTGACAGCAGAGTTTTTAAGACAGCATACCTTTACCAAGTCTTCTGATGCATTCAGGATGGCTTTTATTGAAAGCCAGCAGATTTTTATTCAGCAGGTTTTTTTTCCAGCTTGTTTTTAATTCATACACTCTAGTGTCTGTACTATCAGTTACATGGTAGAATATCCAATAAAACCACCAGATTTAGAACCAGTAGCAAATAGGTGCTTGTAGGATTTTATCTAGACCTATGAATGTGCACTTATGAGCACCCAGAGCCCTTGGGGGCGGGAAACAGGCCAATCAGACACCTTGGCACTGGCTCAGTAATTCGTTCTTTGTCAGTCACTTGAGAGGAGTTCTCCTACTATTTGATGATGTCCCTTAGATCCATTCACATGTTTTTGCTACAGTTGACATTGGAAATATTTTCAACTCCAATGAAAGTCTTAATGGAGGTAAAGTAGAATTCTTAAGTGTTTGAAAATTCTTCATGGCTTAGTTGTGAACTAAGTGTGAAGAAATACTGTCATGTAGGTTTGTTGTGGGTTTGTTTTCATTTTTCCTTGAATATTATTAAAAATAAGAGCTTCGAAGGTGCTATTTTATGTTTAGCACATTTGCCATTATGTAACTTTGATTGTCACTTGCAGACATCACAGTATTTCCGTTTACCTTGAGATCTTAGCACAATTTCATGAGAAGTAGTGACTAAGGGGAAGTACACAGTTGTCAGCACCCATGATTATATTCAGCGAGCCGGTGCCATCTTAGTAAGCAGGAACCAGCTTTTCTCACAACTACAGTTTGCAACGTTAAACTCCTCACATGTACAACTAAAGGTTTAACCAGGAGAGACATTGTAAGGTCTAGGCAACGAGCTTGTGGCAAGGGCAGCAATTAAAAGTGCACTCTAGATGGCACATATGTCAGCTGCCGGCGTAGTCATTCATCACCTGCAGTATCATTCCATAAGGGTTAGAGCTCATGTTCAGTTCTAGGCATCATCCAGCTAATAATGCTTCTGTCAGGTCTGAAGAAATACAGGCTTCTTCCCCAGAGGACGGGTGGTGTTGTCTGAGGTATGCTGTTCAGTGGCTCTGTTGTGCAGATGTCGTGGAGTGCGCTCACCACACTGATCTTGGTGGCACATCTCACCCTGCACCTCAGCTATCGGGACCATCTGCATATGTCCAGTCTGCCCGGACCAAAATGCCATTATGCAGCACATGAGTGATTTTCATCAGATATAGAAGGCCGTGGTAATTACACACACCTTAGCATTCTGATGGCTTCACCTAGAAAGCTATCATTTCTGACTTGGTGTTGGATGTTACTCTGACTTTTCTGGCTGACAGTAAGATAACAAATAGAAAGAAGGCAGCTTTCTAAGATTTTTGAAATACGAGCTTTTATTTAAGGCTAACTTCTTACTAATAAATGAGTCCAAGTAAAATAAGTGACAGTTGCAAGTAACCATCAACAGTTTAAGATAACACATCCATCTAGTGTTCTTTATCTGGTAGAGATTTCCTTTACTTTTTAGCTTATTTTCCAGCTCTGTGTATCAGTTTTGGGAAAAACAATGTTCAGATATATTTGTGCTAAAAGCTAGACTGTCTTTCATACTTCACTGAAATACTTTCTTACCTAGTAATTCACTTACCTGGTAGTAATTCCCAGTAATTCACTATGTGACGAGGATTGTAAGATGCCAAAGAGTAAACAAGTGAGCAGGGTAGACACAGTTCTTTTGTATTCCAGCTCACAGAAACAGTGGGTTGTGCCCTGTTTCTATTTCTTACAGTTGAGCGTACAAGTGCTGCGTTAGCAGCATGTAAAGAGGCATGCCAGTGCCAAGAGGGCATGTTGTGTGGGCTGACTTGGTAGGGTGCTTTCTCTGCGGGGGCCTGGCTGGGCCAGAGGCAGGCTCTGCAGACATTTGCACAGTTCCCTCTGCCAGGAGCTTGGGTTCTCCCTGCCGTGGATGCTTTGGTGTGCTAAGGAAGGCCCTGTAGATGACACTAGGAGGCATGGCCACTCAGGCCCTGAGAGAACTTTCTGCCTCCTTACTGATGTAGACAAGAGCTTTGTCTGAACCACATGTTGGAAGATCCAAAATTAGGATCCCCAAGCCAATGACCATTCCTTCTGTACCATTTGTACTTCAGTGTTGATTTTTTTTCCTGCTGTAATCTTACCCATTTCTTCCTTTCGTTAGTCATTTTGTTTGATTTGATTGCTCTAAAAAGCTGTATCATAGAATGTAATGCTTACTAATTTAGAGTAAGAGAGGCCTTGTGGTTTTTTCTTAACTAAGAGGAATTCTGTTTTGTTTTATAATTGACTGTAGGCTAGAATATGAGGTTATAATTTAGTCTATACTGGCTATAATATCCAAAATATATGGTATATTTTTAAATTGTGTAACAAACATTCCTCTGTAACCTCTTTTTAAAAGTCATAGGTGTGTGTGTGTGTGTGTGTGTGTGTGTGTGTGTGTATGAGAGACAAAGAAAGATTAAATTCTGGGTATCTGTGGAATTCTGACCATCAGCTGTAAGTTCACTCTCTTTCCTACTCTGCATGCTGTGAGATGAAGATGTATTTCTTGTACACAGATTAGAGTGAATGGTGGCTGTGGTCAGTGTGGGTCCCTGGACTAAAGGTGCTAACTCAGCATCCAGCTTTACCAGGGAGTGAGCTGGCCGTCTGCGGTGGGATGCTCCATTCCCTGGAAGCGCTCTGCTTGACATCATTAGTGAGCCCTGGCAAAGCGAGAGACTGAGAAGGGTTGTGATGTGTTACTTTAAGTGGAGTGGTTTTTTAGTGCTTCCTGGAGATCCTGGATGTTTGCTGGTGCAATATTTCCTTAATTTAAAATTGATGGTATTCTGGTAGAATGGAGAAATGAGATGGAGGAGGCATCTGACCAGTTAGGTGGCACGTACCTTTCCTATGTATTTGCTTCCAGGGACTCACAGGTAGTGTCCAGGCAAGTGAAGGTTCCTTCTGGGCAGTGGAGCTCTTCATGGCTGAGGTATGCAAGATGCTCATACTCTACAGCTGGCAATCTTTAAAAACAATAGCATGCCATCTGTGATTTAATCATTTCTTTCATGAAACTTTTTTTTGCCTTAGAGCTAGCTGAGGAAGTTTCTCATTTTTTATGCTATTTTAGCTTTTATATCCGAGGTACTAAGTTTAAAAATAAAGTTGTCAAGGAATTTGATGACACCATAAAATATGAGTTCATAATTAAAGAACAGTTTTGTAGTACTGCAATTTCAGATTTACAGAATTAATACAGAATTTTTTTGTGATCAGGTGAGGTATCTTCTAATCATTGTGGATGTGGGAAGAGATTCTTCCCTCTCTTACCCATTCAGGTCTTAGTGTTACATCTGAGAGTGGAAGTTAAAATGTTGTTTTGAGATTTATCGTGGCTCTTCTGAGAGAAACTTGAAATAAAAACTGTTAGCATTAACCATATGAAATTTATGTTGCCGACTCGTGATACAGAGAATAATGAATATGCATGTGGCTGTCATTATTTTTAAATTTCCCTTGAAGCTGGGGTTTCAGCTGTAGGTTAACTGGCAATTAGCACTTTAACTGATGGCTTTGGAAGAAGAACTGTATATTGCATTTCAGGAATTCAAGAATGGAGGTGAGGTGACTGACTACTTCATACACAGGAATAAAGCACATTCAGAGGTAGGATTAGGGACTGGCGGCTGTTTGTGACCTTGACAACATCCGTTAGGAAACCAGGCACCCTTCCCTGAAAGATGATCCAGTCAGTAAGCACCCTCTCAGGCAAGCAGCTTGGCAGTGGATAGAAATTTAAGATTTAACGGGATGTTTTTTTCTTTCCTTTTTTTAACAAGACTTTTTGTTTAAAGAGTTTATCTGAAAATAGTATTACTCTTTTGTGTTAACATAGTCCACTTTCCATTTTAAGATAATTTTGATGAATAAAATGTGTTCCACTTTTAATATACATAAAAAGCAATTCTTTACTAGCACTATGTAAAGTTATTTTTCTCTCAATTTAAGTACAATCTGTTGTTTATTTCTAATAGCTCAAAAGGTTAGCCTTTCCTTGGATGATGCCTTTTAGACGCTAGGCAGAGATCCCGCACACTTGAGGCTGTACTGTGGAGTGCAGTGGAGTGGCGGGAGCCCTTGGGAGTGAAGGCCAGACTGCGTGAAGGGCTTTCCCTTTGGTTTCTACCTCCTACTCCCTGTTGTCCCATAGTTGTGTTACTTGCAAGAAAAACTAAGATCTTTTAAACTTCTGAAATCCTAAAAATTACATCAAGGTTTTTAGAAGTCACGAAATCTTGTTCTGGTATAGATTTAAGATGATGTTAGCTTTGATGAATAGTAATCTTAGAGATTACTATTTTTTGAGTCAGAGTTATAAAATGAAGTAAGGTTTTGATTAGTGACACATTCAGGAGGAATAGTGGTTAAAGAAAAATAAAGGAAATAAAGGTCTACAATCTTTTTAAATATTGAATCTTAAATTTCATATTAAGAGTTGTAGCTTCTAGAGCAATTTGTATCTTGCAGTTACCCAAGTGGGTGCTTAACAAAATGTCAGCATTCATCCTCTAGGCTCACATCCTTTTAATTCATATTAAGGATGATTCTGTTTAAAAATTTATATATCCCCCTCTTTGTGGAAATTCATCAAATTAGAAGACATGGTTAAAGGTTTTTCATTTGATTTGGAATACGAACTCTGGCATTATCTGAAGTTGTTCTGTGTTTTCCCTTTAATTAAGTCAATATTCCTGATTGTATTTTCTCTTTAGATTTTTCTTGCCAGGTAGTCCAGGAACTTTTTGATACATTAATCATCACTAGAAAGTCAGGTTTATTTTACAGGTGAGGAGAGGCTCTTTGTGTCCTTTATTTAGCAGTTAGGGTGAGGGTGAATTTTGTGCTGTCTAGTAGTAATGAATAGTGTTAGCTTTGCTTTGCTAGTTTGAGGATGAACCCAGGAAGGACTCACAGGAATGGGCCTCCCTCTCACTGTCTTCTCCTCCCTGGGCTCTGTGACAGTGGATGACTGGTTCCGTGCAGTGTCCTAAGGCACCCTTTGCAGTTCAGTCCACTTGTATGACCAGCATGCCCGCATGCTAGTTGCAAGGGCAAGGATGTGCGGAGATAGCCTGAGGAAGGCTGCTAGAGCAGTGCTGTGTAACTGGAGTGCTAGTGCATGCACATCCCTCCACAAATCCACACTCTTCTGTGCACCGCATTGAGGAGCCCACTGTGCAGGGCAGGAGCAGGTGGGAGGGCACACCAGCGTCGCTTCAGTGCACGAGCTCCCAGCCTCCTAATGGTTATACTGCTTTTGAAGGTTCCAGGTCTGTGCAGCACAGTGTGGGACTCCACGAGTGTGGATCTATGGAGGCCTTGTATGTGGAGAGCTCCAGTTACAAGTAAGTAGCCTGGTTACCCCACTGGCCCCGCTTCCTAGGAGAGGCCCTGGACTCCTGAGACCTCGGTCACCCAGGGTGTTGAGAGAAGTCTGTTTGGTTTTGTTTCTAAACCTAGTTAGAATATGTGTTTTTTGAAGTTAGACTTCACTTGTTATCTTGGGTTCTTAGAGCCTTGCACAGTGGCTGACATAGAATGATGAGTGTGCATTTATTTGTAGATAGACAGGGGTTAGGTTGTGAGGTCAGAGGATTTGTGCCTGTATGTGCATGTGTGTTTATGCATATGAAGAATGATTTAAACATTGGTTTTGTTGGTGCCTTCACAGGACTTGGATAATCCCATTCCGAGCCCATCTCACTTGCATAAGAGGCTGTTTGAGTGTCTGTTTCATAGTAGAAAAGGCCCGTCTTTCCCAATTTCTGTACCAGATATCTTGTTTTCTCTTACCATTAGGTGCCAGGGAAAATAATTTAAAGGTTTTTTTGCCTTTTCCAAAGAAAGCTAAGATGATATATAGGATAAGTTAATATTTTAAAGATTGTGTGATGTTTCATTTGATTAGCTGTGTTGCAGAATAAGTAGAAATATTTAAACAGGTAACAAAAGTGAGAAAATGATTGGAGATAGATTTATCCACTAGCTTATGAAATTCATTGTTACTCAGTGGAACCTGTTGGGTTCTTTAGTAGTCTGTAGCTCTGGAAATCCTTGTCTGAGTGTTCTCTCTATAGTAGTAGCAGTGGATTGGCTATAGTTTGTACTTTCACTCTTGTTTTAGGGTTTTTTTTTTTTTTTAAATGTTATACCAATAAAGCAGAGTGTATACCTGTGGGTATTTGGAAACTAAGAAAAGCCTTGTCATAAAATTGGAATGAAAAACTCTGGTTTCCTTGATGTGATTTCAAAAGCATCTGAAACCTGCTCTTCCCGCGCCCTGAGAATGTGTCTTACCAGGTTTTCCCGCTGAACTGCTTACTTTGCTTCTTTTGTAGAGCTTAACCCTACGAGTGGGAGCCTCCCTTCAACAACATCAATGTCACCGTCAGCCATCTCAGCTCAGAACCTGGTCATGTCCTCGTCAGGTGTGGGAGGAGATGCCAGTGTTACACTGACCCTGGCCGATACTCAGGGCATGTTGTCTGGAGGCTTGGATACCGTCACTCTGAATATCACCTCTCAGGTGAGTAACCTTCAGACAGCAGTTGGAAGACTTCAGAGTGTGACTGTGAAAATGTCATTTATTTATTCTGTGCTAAATACATGTTTCTGAACATTTTCTTTCAAAATTAAAGGTATTTTTTTAAGTTAAGAATTTGTTAACCATAAGAAGGGCAGGACAAAAGTAATTTTAGAAAAGTGTATAAGATAAAAATTTTAAAAATCTTTAATCTCAGTACCCAAATTAGGGGGGATTAGTCACTTTGAGCAAGGACAATGTAGAGCCCTTGGTGTATGTGGCAAGCAGGCGCTGCCGGGAAGGCTGGATGTTAGATGTTCGACTGACTTACCACTCAGAGAACATGTCTCAGTTCCTGCTGTGTGACACTGTCAGCTGAGACTTACCTGGTCCTGTCCACCTCTTTACTGTGCTGGTAATACACCATTTTCATGTTTAGGTAAGAATAAGAGTGCGGGGCAGGGGTTTAGCTCAGTGGTGTGCGCACCTGCCTGGCAAGCACAAGGGCCTGAGTTCATTTCCCAGTACCCACTCCCTGCCCCCTCAAAAAAGTAGTCAACAGAACCTGCTTCCAGGTGCTTTTATTAAAGCCTCCCGTCCAACAGACAGTACTCCTGGGATCACCAGTTGGGAGTTTGGTTGTCATTCTGCACATAAGGCAGGCACCTTTTGGAGTCCCTTCGTTGTATTTGTAGAATCTGAATATTCCCTGGGGGTGTCCAGTGCTTTTTCTGTAGAACATGTGCACGGAGCCTCCAGGACTTGGCCGATGTTGCTCACAGAAGCCACATGATCACGGCAGGTAGATGTGCCAAAGAGGGACAGTTCTTCAAAGAGGACTTGAGGACGAAGTGTGGGACTTGCAGTGTTATCCAGTGATGTAACAGTGGTGGCCTTTTGTGGGTTAACCCCTGGCACGGGCAGGTGACTAGCTTTTCCAAAATGCTACTCCTCTGACCTAGCCCTGTGTGAGTCCACTGCCTGTGGTCGAAGTGCAGCGCTCTTCCCTTGTAGTGGAGAAGTGCTTCATTAGGGACTTTCCTGAGTGGTGCCTGCCTGGCCCTGGCCCAGTCTTTACTGTCTTACTTCCACCACGTGCCTCACATGTTGGGATCCGCGCGCAGGCCCACTGCACTGCCCTGCTGTCTCCCTGAACACCCACTGAACTGGTGCTGTCTGTCCTGCTGCCTCCTGGCTGCTCTACACATGCACATGTTCCCTCCTGCACAGTCAGGCCCGGGCTGCGCAGGTCTGAGGTGTGAGCCATAGAGCTTTATGGGCAGTAGAGACAGTAGTGCCTCAGGAGACTGGTGCTCCTCTGGGAGAGTTCCTGAACTGGAGTGCAGTAAGGGTACCAAAATGTGAAACCCATAGTGCTTAATGACATTGTACAAATACTAATTTAAGTGCTAATTTAATACTGATTTAAAGTGTGTACCTTTATTTGAATATATTTTCTATTAACTGACACACTTGGTTTACCATAGATTGATTTGGTAGTTTAATAACTGGAAAAAACAAATTATTCTTAGCTTTATGAGTATTTCTTTAAAGTATAATAGAAGCTTATTTAAATAAAATCATTTTATTATCAATGAGTTATTAAATATTTAAGCAAATGTCTGTAAATTATTATGATTGCTTATTATCATAAGAACATGACCTAAAAATCAGAAAATAGCCAAAAGAAATTAACCAATTTATAGTGATAGTCATCTGGGATAGGTGAGAATTATTCACACAGAGATGAATACTGAGTGGTTTAAATTGGTCCCTGAAATTACATGTGCTCTGTGAATTTAGTGAGGGAGTGAATCCCCTGCAAGCTCTGAAAGGGGATCAAAACAAGTGAGAAAAATCAAGATTCCCTGAAGCAAGTAAAAGGAAAGAATAGTGTAAACATTTGCATTATTATAGATTTTTTAAGTTTGATGGTCACTAATATTTATTTTACATTTGTTTTTGTTTCTTTCTGAAGTTTGTGAAAGAAAATGGTTCTAAAAGCACCCGCTAAAGAAGATGTTTTTAAGTAGTTTAGTTATATGGTATTCTTATGTAGTTTATATCTAATGGGTGAAGTTATATCTATAATAGCAAAATGTTTGCTACAAATATACTTTTGTAAGTATATATTTAAACCTAATTTAAAATTTGACAGTGACTCAGTTATAGAAGAACATTTTGTGAGATAAATGATTCTAATACAGAAAAGGTTAGTTTGTTTTGAGATACCGTTTTATTGTAGTGAAAGTTAAAAATCCAGTAAAGCATTAAGGAAAAAAAAAATAGCATTCACAGTAGCACCAAAGAAATACTTAGTAGTTAGCCTAAGTAAGTGAAAGACCTCTACAATGAAAACTACTATACTCTGAAAAAGGGACTCAGAGAAGATATCAGAAAATGGGAAGGCATCCCTGTTCTTGGCTGGGTCAGAACCAACATAGTCAAAATGACCATTCTTCCAAAACTGATGTACAAACATAACAATCCCAGTCAAAACACTCATAGCATTCCTAACAGAACTGGAGAAAGAAATCCTAAATTCATGTGGACTCACAAGAGACCCAGAATTGCAAAAGCAGTCCTGACTAACAAAAACAAAGCAGAAGGCTTCATAGTCCCAGACTTGAGGTTACTTCACAGAACTACAGCGATTAAAATGACATAGAATTGGCACAAAAACAGGTATGAGAGTCAGTGGAATAAAACAGAAGTTGCAGAAATGACCCTAAGTGCATTCAATTACTCACTCTGTAGCAAAAGGGCCAAAAATGTAACTGGAGAAGAAATAGCCTCTTTAATCAATGATGTCAAGCAAATTAGCTACCCATACGGAGAATCTAGACCCATGTCTTGCACCGTAATATACTAAACTGAAATAAAAATGCATCCAAGAATTAAATGTTAAAACAGAAATGATTAACATGCTGGAAGACAAACATAGGTAAAACTCTTGAAATCACAGGTTATAGGCAAGGCCTTCCTAAACAGAAACCCGGTTGTATAAGAAATAATACTGAGAATTAGCAAATAGGATCATATCAAATTAAAAAGCTTCACTCAACAAAACAAACAGCCAACAGAGTGAGGAGACAACCTAAAGAGAAAAAAATTTTGCCAGCTATTCCTCAAAGAACTGATACCTGGAACAATGAAGGCAAACTTTTTAGAGACGAGTGCCCAAAGTGCAGCCCAAAACCCACGCATATATCACAAAGGGCCAACACTGCAATTAGACCTGCGTACTGAGGTTTCAGTTTAGAAAAAACAAGTCAAACATGAACAAGTTTTGTCTTAAAAGTAATGTGTGCCCTAGTTTTGCCATCACTGATGTAGGATGGACAAAGAACTCAAAAAGTTAGACCTGCCAGAATAAAAGACCCAGTGAAAAATGCACACGTGAAATTAACAGACACTTAACAGAAGTACAAATAAAAGACCCAGTGAAAAATGCACACGTGAAATTAACAGACACTTAACAGAAGTACAAATGACCAATACATACTGGAAGAAATATTCCAACATCGCCGACCATTAGAAAGATGCAAAATTAAAACAATCTGAGGTTCAATTTTACCGCAGAAAGAAGACCATTATTAGGAAATCAAAATATAACAAATGCTGACCAGGGTGTGGGGAAAAAGGAACCCTTGTCCACTGTCAGTGGGCGTGTATACTAGTGTAACTGAAACTAAAGACATCTTTGGAAATGGTGGAGTGGGTAGCAGCACCTGAGCCACTCCAGGATTCAGAATCCAGGAGCTGGAAAGTCACAGCTTAGAGAAGAACACAAGAGCGGGGCTCCCAGGAACGAGGAGGGCTCTAGAAGGAAAAGTGAGACCTAAAGAGACCCCGAGGAAACAGAACTCGGCACGGAGAAGGGAGGGGCCAGTCTGCACTTCCTCCCTGGCTCCTGCCCTGAGCTTCCAGGAAAGGGAGACCAAATCGATAAGGACAGATGAAAGCGGGCACCCCAGAGGCTTCCGGTGCCTAAGGGTACTGTGAGCTGTGCTGAAGGGCAGCATTCTGTGCCCCTGTGCCTCCAGTCCAAGTCCATGCAGCGCTCCCTGAAGAGAGAGCTTGGCCTGACACCTTTATGGGGAAGTGTTAATTGTTTGAACACCTGACTCAGAGCAACCTCAGAATGGCTTCGTTTCAGGGCTCTCAGTATTATGTCCCCACAGTGACTAGGTGAGCTACAGCCACAGTAAGACAGGTGTGCTCAGGAACTGCAGTCAGGCTGGAAGGAGAGCCTCCACGGAGGATGCAGAAATGAAAAAGGCAGAATCGTAACAGATTCCGCCGAAATTCAGATCATTGGTAACTGCGCGTAAAATCTGTAATGTAATGCAATGGAAAATATAGGGGTAGACAGGTGTAGATTCCTAGATACGTATGAACTATGAAAGCTAACCCAGTAACATACAAAAATCCTCAGTAAAACAGTGCCAATTAATGAAATCGGGGGGAAAAAAACCTACCAAGAAAAACCCAAGTCCAGACAGATTCATTGCTGAATTCTAATAGAACTTTAGAGAAGATTAAATGCCTTAAAGTCTTTTTAATGAAATCGAAGGAGAAGCAGCACTCCCAAAGTCATTCTGGAAGCAAACATTATCCTGATTCCAAAACCAGAGAAGGACCCAACCAAGAAAAGAGAACTACAGGGCACGCTCTTCAATGAACATTGATACAAAAATCCTCAGTAAGACAGTGGTAAACAGAATACAGCAAATCATCAAAAAGATTGTGTGTCGTGATGAAATAAATTTATTCCAGGCATACAGGAGTGCTTTAACACACACAAACCAATAAATGTAATCTACCACTGAGTAGACGCAGGCACAATATCACATGATCATCCCAGTAGACACAGAAAAGGCATTTGGTGAAATCCAGCATCCATTCATGTATAAAACCACTGAAGAAGATCCACTTAGAAGGTCTTTATCTCAGTGTGATAAGTGCCATTGAGGTATGACAAGCCAATGGCCATTCTAAAT